GCACGTGCAGTTGAGGATTAGGGTTTTGGGCTTGGGTTTGGAATTCGATGGTTGTGGGGCTTTCGAGTCGGAAGGTACTTTGGCCCGAAACTTGGAACCCTTCCTCGCAGTGGGGACTCTGCACAGAGCGTATCTGATTTTGCGCTGCCTACTTCTTTGATTTCTTTGCAAGGACACGATCTCAGAAACTTTCCCACCGATTGCACGTTCCAGCGTTTCTGCCGCCAAACGCCGCACAAAGTGCTAGTTGGCGAACAAACGCACGAGCTTCCGCCAAAAGCCTTAAAGTTAAAGCCTTAAGGCTCAAAGTCTACGCTCTGTAGCCATTTTGGCTCAAGGCTTCTAAGAGTAGCCTGGGTCTCCAAGTTGGAGCCCCTGCTGGTCAATGCATTCACGAATCTCGAAGAAATCTTTGGACTACGAGCTCACTTTCGCATTGGGCCTGTGGTGTAGGATATTCCTGCCATGAATGCCGAAACAGTGAACAGAGCAAGGCCTTTGCAGGTCAAGGGCCGTGATCACGGCGGATGCTTGGCTGTCCCTGAGAGCATCAACATTCTGAGTCAGAGGGTTCATTGTCGTAATTTGTAGCAGCCCAAATCCATACTAGGGTTTGGTGCCCAGCTTCACCCTCGTGCTGGGAATGGACTTGCGGCCTGACCCCGACTTATGCAGGTCTCCGTGTGCAAATGGCAAGCCACAGAATTCTCATAAATTCTCCAGGGTTGAGCACTGGCTGCAATCAAGGAGCGAATGCTCTTGAACCTCTGTGGCAGCTTTCAGGGCGTGCTCCAGATCTTCGGCAAGTTCCAACAGGCCCTCAAGACAGGCTTCAGAGACGCCAAGGCAAATTTTGACGTGGAGACTGATGCTTGCCAACGTCTTTTGATTGTTTTATCCTGCGCTTCCTTGGGCATTGCGCAGTGGCCGAAGCATGTTGGCAAGGCAGATCCCCCGAGTCGCAAGAGCTCTGGGTGCCAATTCGTGGCAGCCATTTCGGGGATGTGCAACCGCTGGGACTGAGTGTTGGGAGCGCATAAGGGATTTTCGGACAACCTTCAGGAATCCGTGCGTCTAGAAGTTTAGATTCAGATGTGATCGTCACTGCAACTGGTGGGTTGAGCGTAAATCTACTTGTTTGTTTGGGGTGCAGTCTTGCACGTAGCAGCATCCCTGGGAGTACGAATCAGCCAGCTGGACCAAGCTTTCACGTGCGTAAAGCTGTAATGTGCAATCCACGTTTCAGCCAGCTTTGCGGCACTTTAAGATCAGCAATCCAAGGCTGGGGTAGTGCACCTTGCCAATAAGCAATTGGAAGTGGAGAATGAGGTCACACAAAACAGTGCCATGGTGAGGCAACTGGCCCAGAACGCAGCGCAAGATCGGGAGCTGGGCCGCTTGAGGCGGCAGATTGATGAGGTGGCTGCCGAAAACAACGGCTGCGGGAGAGGTGACGTAATTTGCCCCTTTTTCAATTCAGCAGGGTCTTGACTTCGAGCTCTTCCTGGAGTAGCCGGGTCTTTTCCGTGGCTTCCCTGTGACGCCGTTGGCAAGACAGACGCGCTTTGGTCGAAATCCTCAACTCCTTAACCCTCAACCATCACCCCCCCGGGCCTAGTGTGCATTCTTGCTGGGAGCTGATCTGGGAAGAGTGTGGACCCCCGGGCGGCGCCAAGAGCTTTGCGCTCGACGAGCATGTCCATCCCCCGATCTTACGGGGTATCTATGCCCCGAGCTGTATATATATATATATATATATTCCTTAGCTGGCTGTCTGAACTGGTTTCCTCAGCTGGCTGTCCTTGCTGGCCCTAGCTGGTTTTCTCTGTTGATTTCCCCAGCTGGCTTTCTCAGGTGGTTCCCTCAGCTGGTTTCCCGCAGCTAGTTTCCTCATGTGGTTCCAGCAGCTGGTTCCTTCAGCTGGCTTCAAACTGGTTTCCCGCAGCTTGTTTCGTCAAGTCATTCCTCAGCTGGCCTCATACTGGTTTCCCGCAGCTGGATCCCTCAGCCGGTTCCCTCGGCTATTTCCCTCAGCTGGTTTCCCGCAGGTGGTTGTTGCGCAACTGGTTCCCTCAGCTGGCCTCGTACTGTTTTCCCGCAGCTGGTTGCCTCGGCTGGTTTCCTCAGCGTTGTCTCAGCAAGTTTCCTCAGCTGGTTTCCGCAGGTGGTTTCCCGCCGCTGGTTTCTTCAGCTTCCCTCAGCTGGTTTCCCGCAGAGCGTTTCCCGCAGATGGTTTCCTCAGCTGGTTCCCTCTGTGGGTTGCCCGCAGCTGGTTTCACGCAGCTGGTTTCTTGCTGACAGGGTTAGGGAACCCCAGGGAAGCCGAGGGAGCCTTAAGGAGTAGTGGGGAGTATTAGGGAGCCTTGGGTTACATACCCCCCTTGAACCTCCCTTGAGGTTTCTGCGTGGCCTCATACTGGTTCCTGCAGCTGGTTCCCTGCTAGTAGCCTCAGCTGGTTCCCTCAGCTGGTTACTTCAGCTGGTTTCTTCAGGTGGTTGGCTCCCTCAGCTGGTCCCCTCAGTATCTTTTCAGTTGTGTCGTTTTCTCAAAACGCCCCCTCTCTCTCTCTATTTTTTTTCTCTCTCTCTCTCTCTCTCTCTCTCTCTCTCTCTCTCCCTCTCCCTCTCTCTCTCTCTCTCTGTTTGTCGCTCTCTCTCTCTCTCTCTCTCTCTCTCTCTCTCTCTCTCTCTCTCTTTATGTTTTTGTTTTTTCGCTTTGCTGCGGTTTGATCCGTGAGCCTTCGGGCCGGAGGTGATACCGCCTTTTCCTGGCCAGACTCTGTCCTGCTCGCCCTTCACTCCACTCAAAGTCTGCGCTCGATCTTCGAGGCATTGTCACGCAAAAGCCGAGGTCTTGAAGGCCGACGCTGGCTTTAAATACAGCGACCTCGAGTATCGAAACTTGACTGTGTGTCGGCAGTAGGGTTAGCAAGTTAGGATGTGCGGGTTGTTGGCCTGATTGACCTGACTTAAATGGGCACGAAGCTTTGTTTTGCTGCTGCAAGTTCAGCGTGTCGGGGTGTTTGTGTTGATAAAAGGATGCAGAGGGGTCACTGTCGTGTCGGGGAGTGGGTGTCGGGGAGTGGGGCGATCGCTCTGTATTCAGATTACTGCCTTGGCAATTGATGTCATCCATGCCAAGCCGAGAAGTCAATCCTGACCCTGGCTGCAAGCAGGCGAGCATGCATGTCGAATGTATACTTCAAGTTAGTTCGCTTCTGGCATGAAGTTTTCGTCGGTGTTTCCCATTGGTTGCCAATAACATCCGATAGCACCTGTACCTGAATCGCCTCATCACGCCAGTTCGCTCCTGTCGACCACGGCGCAAAGCCCAGGAATGGTTGGTGGCGTGGGTTTCATGCAGAAGCGGAACGATGCCATCTTTGACGCTTCGAAATTGTCGGAGGTTGCTCGGCTCCTGAAGGGCCTACAGTCAAAGCAGCCGGAATTCACAGGCAACAGGGTGAGGATTAGGCTGGGTTCTTGTTTTGAATCTTAGTTTCTCCTCTCTCCCTATATCTCAACCTCTTCTCACTCCCACAAACAATGCATGATTGGCATAGAACATCTGCAGGTGGTCACATCCAGCAAGACCATCCCTGACAAGGCGTCACATCTGCTGCAGTGCAGTACATGGCCGTGTGTCCCGGGGTGCAGGGGATCGGTTTCGTGGTTTCCCGTATGTTCGGGCTTGGGCTCGTTACTCCCGATCCAGGCGCAGAAGGACCTCATTTTGGCGTCCATTGCCATCAAGTGCCCTTGCCGAAAATGCCCAGGTAATAAAGCATGCCTCCTCCAAACTTTCTGTGGAACCTTGGAGCAACTTTAGCAACACACATAGGTTTAGGAGGGTCGACCCAAGGCAATCCGTCGTGTTTGGTTTTCGTTCTCGCCCTGAAGTGCTAAGCCCAACACCACGTTGTTTGCCCCCCCTCCTGTTCTTCACAAGCCCAAACCTGTTTGGGCTTCAGGTACACGCAGTCCAACTCGGTGGGCTACAGCAAGAATGGCATGATGGTCGGCGTGGGCGCAGGCCAGCAGGGCGCCAGAAGGCTGCGCTGGCTTCCCCCCCTTGCACAAGCTGCATATAGCTCTACCGGCTCTACATATAGGGTATCTGACCCTGTAGAATCTTCTGGAGCCACTGCATCCTGCACCCGAACTCTTGCAGATTCTTGCAGCATAGTGAGCTGCAGGCTTACAAGTGAGCAAGGCACTTGAATTTCTGTATGGGACGATCTGTCGAGGTTTAGGCGATCCGGACTAGACTTTGCAGTATGATAATCGGCCGGCAAGTTGGACTGCAAATGTATGTCCAGGCCAGCAGAGCCGTGTCGACTGCGTCAAGTTGGCGGGCCGCAAGGCAAGTCTCGCCAGTCAGGAGCTTGGGCTTCTATTTCCGAAGGATCTTCTCGGCAGGAAATCTTTAGAGGATCCGCAGCTTCATCTCTTCTACTCAACACCAGGCTGTCGGGAAGAGTCCCTGACAGGTGGCGACGTGGTGGCTCCGCTTCCATCCGAAGGTCAAGGGCCTGCCTTTCAAGGAGTGGGCACCCTGCCATGCCCGGGTTGAGAGCTCAGGGAAAGCTCGAAGCCTTTACCAGAAAAGCCGCTGACAAGGGCCCTTAAAGAAAGCGGCGAAGTCTGAACGCAGGGCCGCACGCGTGAAGCTTGAAACCCGAGCGTCTGCAGGGCTAGGACTTTATGTTCGTAGGCAAGCCGAGGACGAATTTGCGTTTGTCAAAGTTACAGTGACGGGTTTTGGTCGCATCGCGTTTTGGTTTTGCAGCTGGACAAGGCAGGGGGCAACCCCCGGACGGGTCGCATCATCCAGCGTCTAATTGGGGACTCGTGGTTGCTTATGCTTTCGTCTTTTGGGATGTGTTTGTTGCAAACTGTGTCCACTTGGAGATCTGTGCTTGTTGTCGGTTTGGATTCTGTTGTGTACAGTGCGTCTTCTTCGGGGATCGTGCTCGCTGATTCGTCCGTCTTTGAGGCATATTTGTTTCTTCTGGGGTCTGTGCTTGTTGTCGTATTTTGTTGTCTACAGTGCGTATCAGCGCATCTAATGACTTGGGATTCGTGTTCGCTGGGCCTTCCCCCCAATATAAAGCCACACACTGTAATAAACATAATCGGAGTATTGAATTTTAAGAGTCGTGGAAAATAATTGAATTTATTTGCTGGTCTTCTGTATCCGGAAACTCCGCTACTCGTACCGAAATCGAGTGCTACTTGGGGAACGGCTTATCTTGAAATGCAAGTCGTCCGTCACAGAGCGTCTGCTTGGGGAAGGGTTGTTTTCGGCATGGTTTTGATGATTGAAAGTGTGCGTGTCTACATGGTCCCTCGCATCTATGTGCGCCAAAACCCATCACTGTAGACAGCTTACCCCGAAAGAGTTTCAGATGGCGGCGCGCAAACTGGCTTGGAAACACTGTAGAATTTTCAGCTGTGTCGTGTCTGGAGGACGGCGTCAAGCGCCAGGACCGCGTGAACGCGCGGGTGCGCTACATTGAAGGCGACATGGAGGAGCCGGGACATGTTTCAGACCATGCGCTACATGTTCACTTTCGTCCAAACGAAACTTTTTTCAGGTCCTTCACCACAGCCCTAGCTCTTGCACTCATCGTCGAACCGCGTCATGAGTCAATCTGTGGTGGTCGCATATAGGCGTCAGACAGAAGCTTGAATTTTCATTGTCCAGTGAGTACGGCATGGCATGAAATATCCCAACGCAAAATGTTTCCCCCAATGCGGCATCGGGAAACGGATGAAGATTTTTGAACACTTCAGGACACTTCAGGCCATTCAGGCCCGGTTCAGAATGCTACAGGGCTTCTCAACTGCCTTCCGCCCGAGTTCTTCCTAGGCTGCAAGTCACAAGTAGAAGTAGGAAGCTTTAAGTAGGGTACTGCAGCTATAGAAACCAACTCGGAACGGACAAAGCCTGCGAAAGCCCATACCTTCGAACTCCTCGGCAGCAAGCCTCCTATGTGACACCAAAGCCCTTGGCCCCACAAACCCAATCCCCAACTCTCAGGAGGCCGAGCGCGGCGAGTGGCTGAAGAACTTCGACGCCCCCCCGGAGCCGTTGTCGGCGGAGGAGAAGAGCAGCTTCCTGAAAGGCCTCCATGGCTCTACACGGCGGTCCGGAATTCAGGGTTTCGGAAGTTTCGGGCCGTTTGGGGGGGGGGAGGCTTCCGGACAAAGGCTGGCCCTCCTACTTCAAGGTTTTCGGTTTTTCAGGGCTCTTTCGAGCCCCAGTCGTCCCTGATGCTCGTTGCTCTTGGCAGTGGGCGTAGTGGTGGTGGATCGGGCATGTGGGCCCGCGTTCAAGGACTTGCGGATTCTACGACACGGGACTTTAAATAGGGGCTTTCAGGCGGTTCCAGGCTTTAGCGGTGTTCATGATCCTGTTTGGGTGATGCTTGCATTTGCTGAACTTCCTGGCCCTTAGCGACTTCGTGATCAGATGTATGTTAGATACGCGTGGATTTGCGAGCCTGAAGGGGGTTTAGGCCCAAGTTTAGGCTGAGATGCACTGACAACTCGTCTCGCGTGCATAGCTTGGGGTTGTTACAGTACAGTACATTCTGAACACTATGGACCCTGAGTACGACATCTGCTTTGATCCTTGGAGGCCTCGACGATGTTGCCATCTCCTCTGATGCCTTCTTCCCCTTCCGGGACTCCATCGACCACGCGACCAGGTCCCGGGCTGGCAAAAGTCCCCAGGATCGACGCTGATGCCGCAAAACGAATAAACTTGAGAAGCCCTAAAGGCCCGGTCAAGCTGGCAACGGCCGCAAAAACGATGGAGTCAGATTGTCAGACGAGGGTTGGGGGGGGGGCCCTTTTTTAAAGGCCCAATGGACTTAGCGTAGCTCACTAGAACCCTGTTAGGCCATCTTAGGCCCCCTAAGCCTGACACCCTTTTTTGCGGGCGAGGCTCGGGGTGAAGTTCGTGGCTCAGCCCGGTGGATCTGTGGCCGACAAGGAGGCGCCGACCACGCGCCGACCACGGGGCTACGGGTTTGGGGGCCTCAGGGTCGCTGCGGGAACTAGAGTTTAGGGTCCTTGAGCTCAGTGGTCTTGGGATTTGCCATAAGGCTTGAGAGATAGCCAGTGTTCACGCACGTCGTTGCGGCAGCTCGAAGCTCGCAATATCTCCCAATCTTAAACTTGCCATCGGCAGCTTTTACCTCCAAGCCCTAAACCCTAAACCCTAAACCCTAAACCCTAAAAACGTAAGTAAGCCGAAAGCTGACCACCAGATCCTTGAACAGTCAGCCCCTACTTGGGGTGGTCGTATTTCTTGCTGTGCCAGGGCAGTCAACAGAAGCGACAAGACCTCACAATTTGGGCCACTGGAGCCTTGCTCCTACCCAGTTGGGATGTTGCGCCTCCCGCACCGCAGCACACCGAAATCACAGGTATGAAGCGCAGCTCTTAATGGCTCTCATTTAAGAAGAAAACACAAGGCGCACACGTACAAGGGTTCCAAAGACAGGTTCTTGAAAAAGGCATCCTCAGGCCCCGCCTAGGAGCCCAAGCCTCGCAGGCTTGCGCCTTCTGTCTCGATGCCCTGAAAAACGTCACGACGCCTCTGCAGGTCATCGATGCTTGCAACACCTACGGTATGACCATGGCCTTCACGCAGCTCCGACTCTTCCATCACTGAGTCGGGCACTGCCCAGTGAAAGCTGGAATCACTCGACCCTCAACTCCCAAACTTTCCAAACCCTTTTGGTGTGTTGGGCTCGTGCCCGACTCCCGGATAGCGTCTCTCGCTGGCAGCGATTGGCAGGTTTCGCCCGATAGCACCTCTGCTCTTGGCCCTTTGAGCCAAAAGATTTCGGAACCCGTCTTGGAAGGCCCTCTAAGACTCTAAGAGCTAACTTCCAGCCATGCAAGGAGTCCACGCCCCTCATGTAGTGCGCGGATGGTAAGCCCTATGCACCTAGAGAGATGTTGCATGAGTCTTTCGGCATGGGGGGTTCGAGACCGTCATCTCATCACCACGGCCTTACGCAAAGCACCCCCGTCCTAGAGTATCACCTCTCACTACGTCTCGGCCTCTACACTCTAGAACACTCTCTAACATTCTAGCCTTGGCCTTATGGCATCCGGGCCGGGATAGAAGTCTTCTGTGGCATGGGCTAGAGGTCAGCAGCGGAGCTGCAGACCACCACACCAAGTGGATGCAGAGTTTTTTGCGATCTCGCTCTTTCGTAGCGGACAATGACATGGAGTCACATTGAGGTACATGCCCTTTGACGTGCTGAAAGTAAATGCACTTGGCTTTGCCCTGGGCTTAGCACTTGGCTTTGCGCTTGGCACTTCCTTGCTTCTCTTGTCCAACCAAGGCCAGCTCAGTGCGCTCAGCCAGAAAATTTGCCTTTATCGAAAATTTGAGAGCAGGCTTCTCAGTAAGCAGCCTGGCCACAAGCAGACCACATCAAGAGAAAGAATTTCTTGAGTTTCAAGATTGAGCAAGACCCAATATGTGACTCCGGCCGCAACCCTCTTGTGAATGTTTTGTCGACAACGTTTTAGACCGCTTCTGCAGCGGAACGTTGCATTGCACAGAGGCAGAAAAGACTGGCGCCCGCTTTGGCCGCTGCATGTTGGGGTTATCTTGTTATGGGGCCTGAAAGGCCTCTGTTCATGTACCTCGGTCTTCGGTTTCGAGGGTCACTGCAGGTCACCTTGACTTATTCGGACAGGCACCCTCCATTGTGTGGCTCAGTGATCCTGAAACCCTCAACACAGCCACCGCTGTCTTTATCCCGCTCCACACATTAGAGCAGCTGCAACCCCATAGCCATAGCCCGCACACACCCAAGCCTTCAAAAATCCTCAGACCGCGACAATTCTCGAAAAGGAATCCTAAACTCTACACGCTGAGACCCTGGACCATTCCCAGGTGGCCCTGCAGTGACAGTCGCGGGAACTCTTTAAGATCCTAGGCCCGGAGCTTACGCGGACGGATTTTAGATGCTAGGGTTCTTTTGGGTTTGGGGGTTGTAGGGTTTTGGGCCTGGCTTGGGTCGAGGGTTCAGTGAAGTCGCAGCAGGCCTGCTGCAACAGAGGAATGTGATGTGCTGTAGTCGCTTTTGACTCAGGCCAAGGGTCGGGATTGGAACACTTCCATTGTGCGATTATGCGCACGATGGCTCGTGTTTTCTTGTGTGCCACGGCACTGCTTGCGTCTTTCTGCTTCGCTGTGCCTCGCCCAGAGCATCCACGATTCCGGGTGACTCCGCTGCGACATTGGAGACCAGAGGGGCAATACAAACAGAAAGCACCACCAACGGCATCTGCTCTCTGCTTGAGTTTGATCTTGGTCACTGGAGTCTTCACGCGTGCACGGCAAACGTGGAACAACCGTCGTGTGCCACCACCAAAATGCGGGCTCAGAAGCACAGAAAATGACAGCATGCTGCTGATGGCTGAAGCTCGACGGCTCCGAGCCGAAGTGGCAGGGTTAGAGACGGAACAGTTGAGAGCAAAAGAGCAGATAATGGCTTGCGGCGGGGTGGAGCTTGTGAAATGTTCGCTGGTCCGACGCCGGCCAGATTTCCCTCAGCCGGTGGCTGTGCCGACATTGAAGACACCCACTACACATGTGAACCCAGGAATCGAGGCACACTGGGAGACCGAACCTCCAACGGCCCACGTGGAGCCCATGGAAGGCTTTGAAAACGAGATTCCTGTCATGGACCATTCCGTGCGGCTGCTGGCAACGCTGCCATACTTGCTACCAGCCATTGATGCCTGGCGCTTCTTTGGTGTTGGCGTCGCGTCAGAAGCCTGGCCAGCGCTGTTTTTGGAGTGGACATCGTTGGCAACAGAGGTCCCGCAGGACCTCCACTACGTCCTTGCCGCGCTGTATCCCGTAGTACTGTTTGCCATGCCCTTGATCGCAGTGCGACGATGCTTGCCACAACTTCTGCGACTTAACCTCAACCAGGCTTTCCTGTTCAGTGGGATCCTGGGCCTGGCTTTTCACCTCTCCTCTTTCTGCCGATGGTTGGGATGCCTCTGTGCCGATGACGCAGTGTACGTGCCAGCTGCTGCAGAGCCTCCTTTGCTGCCCTGTAGTCACGTGCTGCTGCCCTTAATGGTGGCTTGCATCGTCTACAGCATCTACTGCACGCTTTGCAGAGGCTCTTCGCCCGACAGGATCCCATACATCTCTGCTGAAGCTCGAAGAAGCTTGGGGACCAGCCCGGCTGTTTTGAGGAGCAAGTCGTGCTCCAGCTTCTTGGAGCGCAAGGCACGAAGCCACAAGATCCTTCCGGGAGACCGCCGAGACGACGTGGAGTAGCCCAAGGGCCTCCTTCATCCCAGTTCCAATTGAACTTAATTACTGAGAATTCCTCACATGTACAGTGCATCCCATACCGTTCAGGAGCTTGAATAATCTGTGCTCGATTTGTTACGTGCCAAGTCACATTTTTGCTAAGTTTTGACTCGCCGCCAGCTATCCACGAAGTTGTAAATTTGTAGAACTGGATGGCGCGCCGCAGCGCTGCGAGATGTGCGATCACAAGATTCGCACTTAGAGCATGTCAGGATGCTTGTTCCCTTCCGGCTTAGCATGAGATCGATCAACAAAATCCAGCCCAGACAACGCTGTCTCAGGAAGATGTTTGCTTCCGCTTCTGCCGTTCTCTTGTACAGGAGCAAACGTGGCTGCGTCAGCTTTTGGCTAGCAAGGTCTTGCAAGGTCGTGTGTCGTGTTGTGAAGCTGTGAAGCAGCTGCCCCTCCCCCCTGCAACGATGGCACGCACTTTGGTGATGGCGGCAGCGGCCATGCTCTTTGCACCGCTCTGCTTCGTTGCACCTGGTCCTTTTCAAGCGGCTCCAGTTGTGCGCCAGGCACGGTCCAGCGACAGCCGGCTCCAGCAAGCACCCGCGATGTCAACAGCCTTGTGTTTGACCGCAGCCATGGGAGCAGCATTGCTGAAAAAGGTCACGGGCAAGGCCATGCAGGCTTCGAAGACAACGCGACGCTACACGACCCAGACAATTGTCCCGAGTTTGCAGTGGCTCAAGACTGGACTTCGAGGCAGTGACTTGCAGCCCGGCGAACTGAGGGCCTACGGAATTGCAGGATGCGATGTGTGCGTTGGCAAGACGCAAGACGGAAAGCTTTTTGCCGTTGGAGACAAGGCCCCTCCTACCGGCACATCCTTGAGTGTGGGCGCTGAGGTTCAGGGAAGTAAGATCTTGGATGGACAGTTCGGAAACGTCTTTGATTGCTTCACTGGCCAGCCGGAAGGGGATTGGTGCCCTTCGCCGCCGGGGATCGGCAAGTTCGTCGCCTGGTTCATCGGACGGAGGGAGGCGCTTGCAACGTTCGAGATTCGCGAGGCCTTCCTCTCCGGTGACGTCGAGGTCATGGTCGACACCAATGCAAAGGCTGCTTACGAAAGCTGGTACTGGAAGGGTCTCCTGGATGCTCAGGGCAAGGATGATGGAACGTACTACTAAAGGTACACTAGGCCCGGATGTACAGTGTGCGCCATGCAGCATACAGGCCCGGTGCACGGCGGGGCTTGTTTTCGCCTTGTGTCCCACCTCAACTTTTAGAAAGCCTGAAGGCAGCTGACCTCAGTGCTGCCACGAGCGTGCATGATCTGCGCTCGAGTTGTTGAGTTGTTAAGTGCCAAGTCACATGTTGCTAAGTTTTGACTCGACGCCAGCTGTCCACGAAGTTGTAAATTTGTAGAACCGGATGGCTCGCCGCAGCGATGCGAGATGTGCGATCACAAGATTCGCAGTCAGTGTGCATGTCAGGATGCTTGTTCCCTTCCGGCTTAGCATGAGATCGATCGTCAACAAAATCCAGCCCAGACAACACTGTCTCAGGAAGATGTTTGCTTCCGTTTCCGTCGCTCTCTTGCGCAGAAGCAAACGTGGCTGCGTCAGCTTTTGGCTAGCAAGGTCTTGCAAGGTCGTGTGTCGTGTTGTGAAGCTGTGAAGCAGCTGCCCCTCCCCCCTGCAACGATGGCACGCACTTTGGTGATGGCGGCAGCGGCCATGCTCTTTGCACCGCTCTGCTTCGTTGCACCTGGTCCTTTTCAAGCGGCTCCAGTTGTGCGCCAGGCACGGTCCAGCGACAGCCGGCTCCAGCAAGCGCCCGCGATGTCAACAGCCTTGTGTTTGACCGCAGCCATGGGAGCAGCATTGCTGAAAAAGGTCACGGGCAAGGCCATGCAGGCTTCGAAGACAACGCGACGCTACACGACCCAGACCATTGTCCCGAGTTTGCAGTGGCTCAAGACTGGACTTCGAGGCAGTGACTTGCAGCCCGGCGAACTGAGGGCCTACGGAATTGCAGGATGCGATGTGTGCGTTGGCAAGACGCAAGACGGAAAGCTTTTTGCCGTTGGAGACAAGGCCCCTCCTACCGGCACATCCTTGAGTGTGGGCGCTGAGGTTCAGGGAAGTAAGATCTTGGATGGACAGTTCGGAAACGTCTTTGATTGCTTCACTGGCCAGCCGGAAGGGGATTGGTGCCCTTCGCCGCCGGGGATCGGCAAGTTCGTCGCCTGGTTCATCGGACGGAGGGAGGCGCTTGCAACGTTCGAGATTCGCGAGGCCTTCCTCTCCGGTGACGTCGAGGTCATGGTCGACACCAATGCAAAGGCTGCTTACGAAAGCTGGTACTGGAAGGGTCTCCTGGATGCTCAGGGCAAGGATGATGGAACGTACTACTAAAGATACAGTAGGCCCGGATGTACAGTGTGCGCCATGCAGCATACAGGCCCGGTGCACGGCGGGGCTTGTTTTCGCCTGGGACACCTCAACTTTTAGAAAGCCTGAAGGCAGCTGACCTCAGTGCTGCCAGCCATGATCTGCGCTCGAGTTGTTGAGTTGTTAAGTGCCAAGTCACATGTTGCTAAGTTTTGACTCGACGCCAGCTATCCACGAAGTTGTAAATTTGTAGAACCGGATGGCGCGCCGCAGCGATGCGAGATGTGCGATCACAAGATTCGCACTTTGTCTTATACAGAGCCCATGACACAGATGTCCCCTTCAAAGTGTACCCATGGTCCGCTATAGGCAGCTCAAGGCAGCATTCAGAAGCTTGCGCGGGCCCCGCTGCGAAAGTGGAGGCAACATGCTTAGCTTTCGTCGCTCTCTTGCACGGGTGGATTTGGCTTCTCACGAGTTAGCAGTGTTGAACAGAGAAGCGCCTTTATACAAATTTCACACCGACCCTACACCCCCCTCGCATCTTCAACCGTACCAGGAGCCCTAAGCGCCCTGCACCCTGAACCCCACACCCCTCCACCTTGAACCTTCTGCCCTACGAGTGTGCGAGTGCTATTTTTGAAGCACCGAGGCGGGGCACTAAAGCTCGGAAGGGCGGCCTGAACAGGGTGCCAAGGCGAGCAAGGCCAGAGGAATCGGGGAGCAGAGATCGTCAGGAGGAATCGAGGGCATGTCTGCTCTTGGAGTTCGAAGGTGCAGAGGGCTTTAGACTCAAAGTGCAGCCTTTCCGAGTGGCCCTGTATCCTTCCTCAACCAATGAAAGCCTGCCCGAACTAGACGGGCACAACTCGCATTGGCTTTGTAGTACAAGCAAGAGGGCGCATACCATCCCAGCACCATGCCAGAGAAAGCCAGGCAGCTCGTAAGCTGGTGGTGTTGCGGGCGGTTATCGCTTTGCACCGTTGCTTATGATTAACTAAATCTTCTTTGTAGCAATTCTTGACATGGCATGCCAAAAGCTGGTGGAGAGAGATAGAGTAGAGAGCCTGACCTCGGACCGTTGTTTCCTGAAGGCCTCAAGTCCTCCAGCATCTGCGTGAGAAGCGTTGCCTTCGAAGCCACGAGCCCCTGCTGCACCTTGTGGGGAGAGCACGTCCTCGTCCTCGTCCTCGTCGTGGTCGTCCTTATCGTAGTGTACGTAGAACCGTGAGAACCAATAAAGCCAAAAAACCGCAACGACACCAAAAACTACCAACAAACACGAGGGAAAACCAACAAAGCCAAACAACGCACCGACACCAAACAAATCTCCTCCCAGGATTGGGTTTTTGGTAGTACAAAGGAAACCTTCTATTTTCTCGATGGTGCCACGGAGAACCTTTCACTGCAGCAGAATCTGTCCATGTGAAACTTGTATTTTGGCACAGGAAGTCCTAGATGATGCCATGGAAAACCTCTATTACCTCTATATTTCGTGAGCAACTCTATTTTCTCTTTATTCCAATGAAAGATGTTTACTTTCCTATTTTTTGAGAGGAAAATGGGTCATGTTTTGTTGATCCGTATTGTTTCTTGATCCGTTGGGTTTATTTATTTTTGACCCTTATGATTGTTTTGAGCCGTCCCCCTCTGAAAGGCTGTCCCTGTCACCATGTCCCGCAACAATCATGGATGTATGACCCCTTCTCTCCAAGCGTGGGACGAAAAATCCAAAGCCCTAAGCCCGGCCAGAAGCACCTTCCGAAACCCGGATCCAAGGCACGCCTGGAACTCCACCACCACCGTGGGCTTTTGCGACAGAGAGGCCTGGCATCCCAAAGCCCGTGAGAATAGGAAGTTGGGATTGTGCTTGCCTGAGCCAGCATCTCGCCGTTTCTCCCTGTGTGGAAGAGGACAGAAGGACGGAAGAATAGAAGGACAGAAGGCAGAAGCATGTCGCTCACCATCAGTGTGTTGGCCCAAGTTCTAACGTCCCATCCTCCCCCGGAACAGCATCGCGGCGTCGCCCTTATGGCCGAGCGACCTGAGACATCTGAGCCGCTGAGGGTGGCCATCATCGGCGCAGGGTTGGGAGGTCTGACCTTGGCCAAGGCCCTGCAGACTGAGGCTACTGCGAAGAAAGTTCAGGTCCGACTCTATGAGGCCTGGGATGAGTGGAAGGTCCGTGGCGGCTCTTTGGGTCTTGCCGCCGGAGCCCGCATTCTCCAGCGCCTGGGACTAGGGAAGGAGCTTGACGCGGTCTCCAATCAGGGGCAGAGAATGAACTATCTGGCACAAGGGAAGAAGCTCAGCTCTTTGGCGGTGCCAGGATACTTTGCCATGCGCACGGACCTGCAGAGGATTGTGGTGGAGTCGCTGCCAGCTGATACCATCAAACTCGGGCACAAGTTGGTCGACATTGCAGAAAGCGAAGAGGGGGTCCAACTGTCATTTGAGAACGGAGCAACAGACTTCGCTGATGTGGTTGTGGCCTCGGATGGTATCCACAGCTTTGTCAGGCAGAAAATCTTTGGTGCAGATGAGCCGGTCTTCACGGGCTTCCGCGTCTTGTACAGTGTGTCGTCGAAGCCCATTCGTCCAGATCCCACGGTGGCCAACATGCATTGGGTCGAGACAGCTGGCACAGGCTATGCTATCCTGGACGTGACCGCTGGACAGGGAGAGGGGCGCCACGATATTTGCCTCATTGTCTTGGGAAGCCAGGAACCAGTCTCCGACCGATGGGACTCTGCAATCGTGCGGGAGCGCTTTGCTGAGCTCGCCAAGAACGCGGCGCCCGACCACGAGGTCCTGGCCCGTGCTGTAGAAAGTGCAGATGTCTGCTTCGACTGGGGCATCTATCAACAGCCGACCCGTCCTTCCTGGATCTCAGCCAAGGGTCGTGTCGTGCTCTTGGGCGATGCTGCACATGCTACAGCTCCCTTCATGGGCCAGGGCGCCAACATGGCGATGCACGACGCCTGGTGCCTGAGCCGCGTCTTGCTTCATCAGGAGCTGTCACTGCAAGAGAGCCTCCGCTTGTATGAGGTGACCCGCAAGGCCTACTGCGAGAATGTGGTGTCTGCGAGCTCCAAGATCGGGCAGATGCACACGGCCACCGGCTTGAAGGCGCTGGGCCGCAACTATTTGCTGAAGCCCCTGCTTTTCCGGAATCTCCGGAATGCCTTCGGCGTCGACCCCACAGAACGCAACCCCTGGGAGCCAGAGCCGAGCTTCTTCCAGCGACTGGGCTTGCGGCTGCGGGCCCTCTGCGCTTAGCTGCGCTTAGCTGCGCTTAGCTGCGCTTCAAAAGATGCGTTTCAATTGGACTAGACTGGCGTTGATGCCGGTGAAGCTTTTGAGGCCATAAGCCCATGGTTGTGCAGCTTACCCACGGGCTTATAATTACAGCAAGGGTCATCTTGTGTGGCCATGTCTGGCCTTTTAATTCGAGTCCACTACTCGGATGTTTTGAACAATGTCACAGCTGGGCACCTGGCCTGCGTGATGGCGTGTGTCAACATTTGTAAACCCAAGCATGTGGGAATGGGCTCGTCTCAATATGAGCCGCGGGCCTTCCGTGCTTCTCTCAACAGCAGCTCGAGCCTCGACAAGACAAGACTTGATGATACCTGCATGTGCCCGAATTTTCCCCTGCTCCCAATTTGAATTTGCCCAGCCTCACTCTGGGATGCGGCGACGCAGGGGCTGCTGACCGACATGCTCTTCAGTGGCCGAGGCAGACGCAGTCCTTGCTGTCTGTGAAACCTGCCTGGGACTTAAGTGGATGTCATATAGTAGGTAGGCTCCGGGATCAGGCGTTTGTCTGAGCCCCGCTTTGTTTCGTGTACACGAAAAAGTCTGTTTGCTGCACCCCCCCTCGGCCTTGCCTCCCCCCCCATTCTCTCTCTTGGAAGTATAGAGGACGTAAAGGTTTCTCTATGTTTGAGCCGACACAACAAATGAGGAGCAAACAGCAAAAACGAGGGTGGGGGGGGGGGTGGAAACTCCACCTGCCCAAAACCGCTAGAATGCCTTGAGCCTTGAAGCGCCAACATTGCAGCATGCCTTTAGAGCACTTCTAGAAGTGTCTTGGCCATGAGAGGCATGAAACTTCTCGGCGCCCCCGTGAAAATCCAATTTTAGCAAGGGTCATTCGTCGGCGAACTAGGAGAACTCCGCGAGCACCCAAAAGCCAAAAGCCGAAGAGAGGGATCCGGCGAAGAAGCGAAGAAACCCTACTCCCAAACACCCCTCGGTCAGCTAGGGGATCGCGGCAAAAAGCGCCCGGGGCACTACTCAAATTCAGCCGGTTTCCCATGAACTTGCGCCGACGCACGCTCTCTCAGATGGTGCAGCATGTGCAAGGGCCAAGCCTCTGCGCAAGGTCTGTGACTCTCCAGAACATCGTTCAACCCAGTTTTTCCCAACGCGTTCTGCTCATGTGCCCTCTTGCCAATCCCGATCAATCCCGAGCCTGCTGCGCTGACAAGACTCCTTCCCTGACAATGCCCTGTACTCCCTGGGAACCTGAACCCTAAACCCTAAACCCTAAACCGTGAACCCTAAACTCTGTCAGGAGAGAAGGGCGCGGCGGCGGCAGCCCAAGAAAGAGCGCCTCAGCCAGACGCTGGCTGTTGATGCTGAGTCCTGCAACGCACACTTTCTGGTAAGCCGTGCTGCACAATAGATTCGACAGATTGTCAGCACCACCGCTTACATGTACGACAGACGGATGATCCAGCACTTGGCAGTATGCCGTGCCAGCCCATAGTAGAGACATAAACATGTGTTCCACATAGCAACCATCACTTGAGAGACCGAGGCTGGCCAGTGTGTCCCAGAAGAAAAGCGCATGTTGAAAGCGTGAGGGCCACCGACATGTTTGGCGTGGTTTTGACTTTGTGCTGGCCCAGCGCCTTTGGCTCGAACTGCTCAAATTCAGCTTTTCGCCCGGAAAAGCATCCGACATTTCAATTGGGAAAAAGGGTAGTGACTGGTAGTGCCAATGAAACGAGCTGCGAAGTCGTTGGCAGCGCTGCTTGCCTTGGCGCTACATGGGGCCCGCAGCCTGAACACATCCACAACAACTCAGCCAACCAGCCCTGGCACGCAATTTATTGATTGCGGGAGCAACGTGTCTGGATCGACGGTTGGTTTGCCAGATACCATGGGCTGGGAGGGAGGTGATGCACATGCGGTGTTTTGTCCAAATAGTACTTCCAGGGTCAAGATCAGCACATGCCAGTCCACCTTCGCAACTGCGCTTTATGTGAAAGGCCCAGGCATTGACATCGAATGCAGCAGTTCTTGCGAGGCGTGCGGGAACCAAAGAGAGGCTTGGGTGGACGTTCTAGCTGGTGAATGCTATGACATATATGTTGAGGGCAATGCTGCACCGTTCGAGGGCGACTACGTTTTGTCAGTGTCATGCCCAGCAGTTGCGTGCGGGATCCCGGTTTATGGTTCGACTGAGGGCTTGCCAGATACCATGGGCGGGCCATCGGGCGAGGCTCGATTCTCCTTCTGTCCCAACCTCACTGGCAGGGTCAAAATCAGTACGTGTGGATCTGATTTTGATACGTGGCTGCATGTGAAGTCCCCAATTGTGGATGTGAATTGCGACGACTGTGGTGACTGTGCCCCTCAAACAGAGCTGTCAGTCGACGTCCTCGCGGACGAATGCTATGACATTTTTGTTGAAGGGTTTCAGGAGTCTGAAGGTGACTTCGTCTTGTCGCTTACTTGCTCGACGGCGACTACAACTACGGTGATGAATGCTCTTGTTCCGTGCGGGAGCCCAGTGAGCGGTTCCACTGTTGGCTTGCCGGACACTCTAGGATTCCGCGGAGGCGAAGCGCATTGGAGCTTCTGTCCAAACAGCACTGGCAGGGTCAAGATCAGCACGTGCCTGTCGAGTGGGATGAGGCCCACTCTCTTCTACTTGAAAGGCCATGACATTGATGTGGATTGCGCATGGGATTGCCACGCGTCGTGCGGCCATAGAGAGGCTTGGGTGGACGTCCGAGCTGGCGAATGCTACGACATCATTGTTGAGGGATATGATTTTGAGCAAGGCGACTACACATTGTCGATCTCCTGCCCCGTCGCAATCAACACGACAGCGGTTGTGTGCGGGAGTACCGTGAATGGGTCGTCCGTGGGTTTACCAAATTTCAATGGCGGACCACAGGGTGACGCCAGGTATGTGTTCTGCGCCGACCACACCGGGCGAGTCCAGGTCAGCACTTGCGGGTCAGACTTGGATACCGCGCTGCACGTGCAAGGTCCAGGCGTTGAAGGTGATTGCGACTGTGGTGACTGCTACTGGCTGACTGCTCAACCTGGCGACTGCTATGACATCTTCGTGGAAGGCTGAGGGAAGTAAGTGAACGAGTAGGACCTATAGTGATAGGTGGTAGGTAGGATTCGGGATGCTAAGGATGTTGCTCCTCTGTCAGGTGAGCGTTTAGATGGGGACTACGTGTTGTCAGTCACTTGCCCCGCTGCATCGAACACGACAATGCTTTCATGTGGGAGCACGGTGTATGGTTCGACTGTGGGCCTGCCAAACACCATAGGGCATCAAGGGCATCAAGCTGGAGATGTGCAGTACTGGTTTTGTCCTTCCACGGCTGGCACAGTCCACATTAGCACCTGCGAGTCGAACTTCAATACTTGGCTGCACGTCCAAGGTCCCGCTGTGAACTATTCCTGTGGCGGATGCGGCCACTGTGGTTTGTCGGACTACGGGGACTCTGAGGTCACCATCAGCTTCCTTCCGGACAAGTGCTATTCGATTCATGTGGACGGCTTTGATCGTTTGTACGCGTATGAGGAGAACGAGGGAGACTACTCTCTCACCTTGACTTGCACTGCCCCAAGCACCACGAATAACACAAATGTCACATGTCCCGTGTACATCGCGGGGGCCAACCCGATACCTGAGCTCCTCGCCTTTGCTGAGCCCGTGGTGGTCTTGCCTTCCGTGGAGTCAGTGTTGGACTCACTTGCCGAGGGCTTGACAAGCACCTCGGGAGCAGAGCTCCTGCTCCCGATGGGTTTGTATGATGAAAATTCGATTCCGAGCTTCGCTTACTTGGATGCTCTGGCCCGTTTAATCTTGGATGGGCTACACCTCCTCCTTGTCGGCGGACGAGCCATCGATTTCCTCAACGAGCTCCGGTGGGAGTTGGGTTTCCATGGCGATGGCTTCGGGCTTCTCTACGAGAGAAGCTGCAGCTCCGGGTACGGGGATGACGAGGAGTGGCGTTTGTCGGGTGATGGATTTGGAGGCGGTCCCAAGGTTTTGCCAGTGAGTCCTTATATGTCTTGTGTAGAGCTTCAGAGTCTGCCAGAGACGGTCGATGGACTTTACGACAACATTGGGAACGCAGTGGCCTGGACGTCTCGTCATGGCAAGGGACGCATCACGTTTCTCGGAGTCATCTACAACAGTCCGTTCCTTCCGATGCCCTCGGAATGGCGGCATCTTCTCGTCAGCTCGTTCAGCGCAACTTGTGGGCGCGAGGAAGACAATGTGACTACTATCACTACGACCTCCTTCCATGTGACTCCTATCACTACCGTCACTACGACCTCCTACACCGTGACTGGGATGCCCCGACCGCGATCAGGAGTGAACGTTTCTTGTGGGAGCATTGTTCATGGAAGCATGCCAGATTTTGAAGTCAGCCACATCTTCTGCACCCCGCCACATCCGTCACAGATCGGCGATGTATTGATCAGCACCTGCGGGTCTTCATTTGACACCACGTTGGCTGTGCGCGAGGGTTTGGAAGAGAAGTGGTCATGCACCTACTGTGGCAACTGTGGGGCAAACGCCGAGCTTAAGATGGATTGGTTGGCAGCCGACACATGCTACAGCATTGAGGTCGGCGGCCGACACGCCACGGGCAATTACTCCCTATGGGTTTCTTGCTGCGACGAGGGTTTGTGCAACCACCGTGGCACAGTGACCCACAAGGCCTGGGGTCCTGCTATCACGGATTCGCCCGAGCTGTGCGGGTGCCTTTGCTTCTATCCTTATGCCGGACCCACCTGCAGCGAGTGTGCGAGAAGTTCTCTGTCAATCTTTAAGGATGGCACCTGCCAGCGTTGTTGGGAGGAAGGTGTTAGCAAGAGTCTTGTTGCTCTGCATGGCACCACTGTGCTTTGGAAGTCAGGCGTTTTGCATCCCGAGTGTGCTACTGGCGAATCTGCCATGCAGGTCAGCTACCGCGCCACTGTGGGGGAAGTCACACAGCAAAGTGACAGTCTGCGCGTAGAGATGGGCGCTTGTCTGGATGCCCGCCAGCAGACTTCTGAGGCTGTCTCTGTATATGCCAATGGAGTGTCAATTGGCAACGTCTACTGTGCTCCTGGGTTCAATTGTTTAGTAAATTCAGAATTGTTTCCTTGTGGTGCAGTAACTCTTTTTTAGTTTTAGTTCTTTAGCAAGAACCCAGGCTCCTGAAGTACACTGCGACCTCGGCTTTGCTCACGCAGTCAAGTCCACAAGGATCCCTTTCGCCATTCAGATGCTTTCGTGGTCGGAATCGACCTTGGCCGCGCTGTCCCTGCTTGAGCTGCTGGTCGGTGCATTCAATGGCAGCCAGGTTCTGATTGCTGACCTTCGGGGGAACCGCTTCAATAGCACCTTGAGCTCCGAGTCCCTTTTGGAGGTTCAGGCTTTCTTCAATGCTCAGTTGCAGTTGACACAGAGCCATGGTTTCTCCTGCTCCTTCCCGGACCCGACCCTTTTCGGGAAGCAGGTCCCTGAACTTCTGATCCTAGTTGGGGCCCTCTGTGCTGGTTCAGACGACTTGCTGCAGCCCTTCGTGCGCGAGGGTGGGCAGGTGCTCTACCTGCGCCAGTACCAAAGAGGAGCTCTTCCCGGGTTCATCTCTTACATTGATCTGGGCAGCCAGGTGTCAGGCTTTGCCCAGCCCACTTGCAACTTTGTGAAATCCTGGCTGAAACGAAGGAGGGGCGATGCCGACTGCATTCACGACATTCACGACGGCGAGATCAGTTTCGAGCCGCTGGAAATCAGGGCCTTTCAACGAAGCATGCTCAAGTTTCAGAATCTGTGCCCCATCCGGGCCTGTTGCATCGGCCAGCAATGCAGCGACCTCACCGATGCTGACGAAGACGCCGCAATGTGCTGGACCCCGCTCCTGGAGATGGGCATCTACAACGTGACGGTGACCTTCTGGGATGTGAAAGATGGGAACCTCGGCACGCTGCGCCTCAATGTGAGCCTCAATGTGGCTGCTCCCAAATCAACCCTCCAAGCCGACCGACCTGAACGTTTTGAGTCCAATCCGTCGACTCTTGCGCAGGCGGTCTTGCCAGAGCTCCTTCCGTGGTACGCTTCAAGAGACGAGGCCTACAATACGGGCTCTTTCTCGTCTCTCTACGATCACAGCATGTCCCGCTGCTGCGACCACGTCGCCGTCGCAACAGATCTTGCCATCATGGGCCGGCTGGACAGAGACTACGCGCCCACATGCAGCCAAAACTTTGATCGCTCTCAACATGAAACGCCGGCACCGATTCAGCACGAAAGACCATTTCCCACGACTCTGCGATTCGTGGCTTTGCGCTGCTATGTCAAAAGCACGCAAGTCGAGGCAGATGGGCCAGATGGCGCAAGCTGCAATTTGCCAAGTTTGCCAAGCCTCGAGCCACCACCGCTCGCACTCGCGGAGGAGGAACACACGTGGATCTGGCAGCAGAAGGTGGATTCCTACGTCCGCGCTGCCGAGCAGCACGTGGAGCAGCATGTCAACAATGCGGAACCACTGGACCCACTGGCCTCAGGGCCTAAGCGTGCCCAGTGGATCGTACGCCAAGCCCTGAAAGCCACGGGTCTCCAGAGCCGATTCCAGTATCGCACCCTCAAAGGCTGCGATGAGGACCCTGAGAGAGAGCGTTTTGTGAGCATAATTACGCCGGCCTATATAGGTTATATAATAAGGCCTTCTAGAGGGTCCGCTTTTGAAAGGGCATCCCTTTTTTGAGGAGGAGGTCCCAGATCGCTGGGGGCAGTGCCACTGGGCTTGGGGCGCCCGGGCTTCCGAGGCTGGGCCGCACTTGCTCAGCGCGGGCTTCCGGGAGCTAAGCGGAAAGGTCTGGAACGGGAACCTGCGGAACCTCTCCGTGGCCCGGAAGGGGGACATCCTGGTGCTGCCCGCGCCTCGTTCTCATCTTGTCTCACTGGCATGTGTGCGTATAATACATGTGTATATATATATATATATATATTATTTTTTTTTGCCCTAGCGGCGCGGGCCGGCCCTGGCACTGAAAACAATGGGGGGCGTCGTACGGCGGTGTGGAGAGCAGCGCTGAAAGCAGGGGCAGTGGGGGGGCGCGGTTCGGCGGTGTGGGCACCGAAGAGTGGGCAGTGGGGAGCTGATTGGGGGCGGGAGGGCGGGAGGGCAGGTGAGGGCGGGTGAGGGCAGGTGAGGGCGGGTGGGGGGGGGGGGGGGAGGGCGGGGTTGGCGGTGGGCAGCATACACATTTTTCTACAAAGGAAAGCGTAGAAAGCAGACAGATGGGGATGGGCTGCTGGCGTGAAGGTGGTGGAGATGGAGTGGGGGGGGGGGGGGGGGGGGGGGGGGGGGGGGGGGCTAGCGCTGAGGGCGGTGAGGGCAGCTAGCAAGGGGCCCCTCCTAAGCGCCGACCCGGCGGGGTCGGCGGATATTTTTGTCTGTGCTAATGTGTACATCTATCTATCTATCTATCTATCTATCTATATTCATATGGATAAATATATATATATATATATACAATTATACATATACATATATACATATACATATATACGTATACATATATACGTATACATATATACGTATACATATACATATATATATATGTTATTTGTATGATTATGTATGCATGCATGCATGTATGCATGTAGATATGTATGTATGTGTGTGTATGTATGTATGTATGCATGCATGCATGCATGCAAATTAGCGTCCGGCAAGTCATGTAGAAGAAGGCCTTCAATCTCACCTACGAGTCCGATGCTGTCTTGGACTACTCCTGCGATCTCGGCTTCATTGCCATCAAACGCTCGGACAGCTCGGATTCCTGGGTGTCGGACCAATTTCTAAGCTTGGGCATCTTCTCGGCCATGCTTGACATGCGGGCAGCCGGCATGCCCAGACTTTATAGGCCAGGGCAGCTGAAGCATCTGAAATTCTGAACCTGACGCGATGTGACAAAAGGGTGTGTGTGTGTACTTGTGTGCAATAGAGAAAGAATCCCGAGTCAGGCTGCGAGAAGATGCAGGGATTGTGCCCGAGCCTCAAGAGCGGTTGCTGCCCATGGTGATGAAGGAGGATCTTCTTCGAGGTCTTGCGCGAGCGGAAGCTCTTCAGTGGCATCAGCAGCATGCCGCGGCCGCACGAGACGTCTCGGATACTGAGCTGCAAGAGTATCCTTGTCCGAGCGTGTGGCAGCCCGCGGGAATCGACGGAGGCCGACCGGTTCCCAGCAACATGCCTCGCCAGCTAAGAGAGGTCGGCTTCGGTGCGTTCGAAGATTTAGATCCATCCTCGTTTGCTCGGAAGACTTGGTGTTTCGAGATGGCGCCGCGAGTGTTCAGGCACTTTGGGGTGAGATGTTGCTACGACTCCGGCAGGCGATTTATCACAGATTGGCCCTCGACAATCCTTCTCGGTGGTGGTGAGGCGGCATTGTGGACCTTGGTTGAGGAGGCCGATGCCGAGAGGCTGGAGTTTAAGGAGGTTGCCACCACAACCACCACGGCCACCACGGCCACTACCGCCGTGACCAACACCGCCACCACCACCACCACCACCACCACCACCACCACCACCACCACCACCACCACCACCACCACCACCGCCACGGGCGTTGACGTGTCATTTGCCGGAATTGAATCCGCAATCTCCATGCAGAAGGGCACAGTGGATCTTCGCTGGGGAAACGCCAGGATGGATTCCAACAGCACTCAGCTCATCTCTGGCATCACCTACCTCTTGCTGCGGGCGGAAGCCGAGGAGCTCCTCTTGAACATCGAGGGGTTGTTTGAGTTGTTTGAGTTGTTTGGCCAACCCCAAGACTTTGACTTTGGCAGCTCGGGCATTGTTGCGACAAGCACCGATCGCTTGAATGCCAGCATCAGCGGCCTCGAGCCTCAGTCCACGCACTTCTTCCTTGTGTTGGCCGTCGTGGAACACCATGGATCCCCCAACGGCCCCAACATCTCCATGTCCCGCAACCGCCGGGTCTCCCGTGTGGTCATCGCTTCCGAGGACGCGGTTGAACAAGATGGCGCAAGACTCGTGGAAGTTTTGGCCACGGAGACGCTGACAATTGAAGTCACGAACTCGAGCGTGCAGTTCGAAGCATCTGAGTCGGGTGGCCTGCCCGTGTTGAACACGGGATGTTGCCTGTCGGGCTTGAGTAGCGAGGGAGACCCTTTCTTCGTGATCGTTGAAAGCATCGAGGAAGTCGGGCCACGGCTGGTGGCTCGGACCCGCCCCGCCCAGATTACGGACCTCTACAAGCGCCTCGTGCTGGACGAAGCACTGATCCTGAGAGGCGAGGACGACTTAGACTCCGACTCGGCCTCTGCTCTGGGCCGCCGCCTCTCGGCGAGTCCTTTGAAGGAAAGGACCACCCTGAAACAATCTGCCAGCGGGTTTGTGAAAGCAGGCCTCAGGGTCTACGCAAATCTTGGGGTTGAGATCGGTCTGCAAGTGACAGTGGACCTTGACTGGGCCATCGACAAGTTGGAAGTCAGCGCCAAGTACTCCGTCGGCTGGTCCCTCACGGCCGGCGTGGACTTCAAGGCGAGCGTCGGGATAGGCTACAATGAGGAGATCGCCTTCCCGGTGAATCCCAAGTGGGCCCAAATCAGGTTCCCGCTGTTCACCGGCTTCTGGCTGACCTTGAAGCCATCTCTAGGCTTCTTTGCCTCCGGTAGTGTTACCGCCGACCTGGCCGCCAGCACCTCATGGGTCGTAGGAGAGACTCAGACGTTCCAGGCATCTCGCCGAAATGGGAACTGGCTTGGGACCTACACATACACCCCGCAGCCACCGAAGCTCACAAGCATCGCAGACCTCAAGGGCTCAATGGGCCTGAAGCTCTCAACGAAGCTCAGTCTCAGCTTCCTGGCCTACGGCCTCTTCGGGATGAAGGTCTCCCTGCAGCCTGGCTTGGAATTCATTTTTGTTGGACTTCTCTGGGCCTTTTGCTTAACTTAATTACTTGGGACATGAAAACCTCGACAAAATAAATAAGTATACAAATAAATAAATATATATATATATGTATGGTCATATATATATATATATATACACACACATGCTGTTGTTTCGCCTGTGCCCTCAAAGGGCTGCCTTCGGGCCGTCAGGCTTGACCATTGACCATACATATATATATATATATACATAAGTATATATATATATATGCATTATATATATATATATGTCACACATACATACATATATACATATGTATATTTAATGTATATATATATATATATATATACACATATATATATTCACATATACATGTATACATATTCATTTACATAGAAAGTATATGCAATGTACTCTGTCTTTTCGATGAGGGTTCCTAGAGTCCGAATGAGTAGTGGAGCACCGAGGCAGCCGGAGCTGTCTTTCGACATGGCCTCGGAGATTCCTCTCATCGGCTTTCTCAATGCACAGGACCCTTTGGGCGGATTTCACCTTCGGAAGTTCGAGCTGAACTTCAACTTGCACGCGGCGCTGGCCATCGATTGCGGGGAGTTTGATAGCCATCAGAGCTGCCCGGGTGAGATTGCGAAAGGCACCCCTTTCACAAAGGCCCTCTTGAAGTTGCCCACAGGACGGATCGACGCGTTGGGATCCTGCTCATTCAACGCCGGCCGGACGGGCGGTGTGGTCCTCAACATGGACCGTGCTCTTTGGCTGGTGGACTCGGATCTTTTCGAACATCGGGGTTCCAGCAGCGACTCGCTGCTCAGACTGCAGTTGAAAGACAAGGAGGAGGAGGAGGAGGGAGCCCGGCCCGGCACAGTCTACCTTTTCCAGTCCTCCCGGAAGTTTCCGCAGCTTCGCATCTTGGCACAGACGAGCTTGCTCTCCGACTGCAGGACCACCACAACCACAACCACCACAACCACCACCACAACCACCACCACAACCACCACCACCACCACAACCAGCTCAAAAAAGAAGCGTAGGAAAGTTCCACAAGAGAGCAACGACCCGTACAGAGGAGGCAAGAAGTGGCGACGGCGGCGGTCACCGGCCGCTGGGTCAGGGGATCCGCACTGTAGCACCTTCGACGGACTTCGCTTCGAGTGCAACTTCCTCGGCGAGATCCTTTGGACAAAGTGCGAGACCTTCGCGGTCCACGTCTTCACAGAGCAGGCCCTGAGTCAGGAGAGCAAGGCCACGGTCATCAGAGGCTTCGCTGTGAGAGAGGAGGGCCAGGTCGTCCAGGCGGTCCTTCAAAGCAACGTGACCCTGGACAACAACGGCAACAATGGCACCAAGGCTGCTAACGCTTCGAGCTTTGCGAGCTTTGCGAGCTTCGATGTCTTGGTGGAGGGCGACGGCAGCCACATCAGCACGCGGCAGTTCGGGGAGGTGCTGGTGCTGGAGACCCTTCGCGGCCACGAGGTGACGGCCATCTTCCACGCGACGCACATCTTCTTGCAGATTGTACCAGCAGATCATTGCTTCAATCGAATGGAGGGTCTTCTGGGCAACAACAACGGGGATGCTGCGGATGACTTACAACCTTTGGGTTCCAGCAGCTCCCTCCCAACATCATCCTCAGCAGAGGAGATATACGAGCAGCACGTACTTTCTTGGTGCATTGATGATTTTCTGGACTCGCTCTTCCCACAGGACCTTTTCCACGCTTGCCAGCGCAACTACTGGCCCACGTTCATTTCAAGCTTAGATCGATCCACTTGTCCGGAGACTTGCGCAGGTGATGCCTTCTGCTGCCTGGATTACGTGGTCGCCGGGGAGGACATGGCCGTGGCTTCCCTGGCTGAGCTTCAAGCCACCGATGCAGCTCAGCGCGCGGCTTCAGCTTTTGGAAAGGATCCTCCCAGCCTTCAGCTGCCAACCGAAATCTTTGCCACATATGGCGCAGGCACAGTGTTGCAGTTCACCGTGGGCGCAGAGACCATGGAGGGCAACAGCATCCAGGAACTCAACTGCTCCGTTTGTAATCGGGTGTCCTGTGCAGTGTCGGGGCTAGGGGAGGTTCGGGCATCGCTCGAAGTCTACGACAACGGCTCCTTGGTGCTGGGCCCCACGGAGTGTGTCGCGGTGGATGCTGGTGGCTTGTCAACTCTGGGAGGCGGGGCCGCCTTCAGAAGGCACTTATAATCATCTGAATATATCTGAATCATCTTAATCTTATCTTGAACCCTTTAGAAGTTCAGCAACGCGCTCTCCCCCAATGTACCGCATGTGCTAGATTCTGCTAGATGATATACCTCGGTATTCGGGGCAATATCTGTGAAATGCCTAAGACGAGGAGCTCGGATTCTCGCGACCCCCGAGGCCCGGGATCTATGTGCCGCTATTGCCGCTATGTGCCACTTTGTTCTTTTTAGTTGCGCCTGTGCTTTCTGATACAGATCACAGCTACAATGACAAGCTCCAGCACGACATCATCACAGGACACCTGCGTAGCCAGGTAATCACACTGAGACTGCTCGCGCTTTGTGTTTGACGGCTCCACAGATCCCGGCCACGATGACGAGCACGTGGACAAGCTCCAACACACTCTCCTCGACAGCATCCTCAACAGAGGACCGCCGTTCGGACGAGCACCTGACATCAACAGAGCGAGGGTTTATGCAAGACTTCAAGACACGTGTTACCTGTCAAGTCTTCGTCATTGCCTCTTCGAATTTGCATCGACAGATCACCGCCGCGATGACGAGCACGTGGACAAGCTCCATCACACTCTCATCGACAGTGACTTCAACAGAGGACCGCCATTAGGACAAGCACCTGACATTAACAGACAGAGCGAGGGTTTATGCAAGACTTCAAGACACGTGTTACCTGTCAAATCTTCGTCATTGCCTCTTCGATTTGCGTCGACAGATCACCGCCACGATGACGAGCGCGTGGACAAGCTCCAACACACTCTCGTCTACAGCGACTTCAACAGAGGACCGCCATTAGGACAAGGGCCTGACATATCTGTCAAGTCTTCGTCGTTGCCTCTTCGAATTTGCGTCGACAGATCACCACCACGATGACGAGCACGTGGACAAGCTCCAACACACTCTCATCGACAGTGACTTCAACAGAGGACCGCCATTAGGACAAGCGCCTGACATCAACAGAGCAAGGGTTTACGCAAGACTTCAAGACACGTGTTACCTGTCAAATCTTCGTCATTGCCTCTTCGATTTGCGTCGACAGATCACCACGATGACGAGCACGCGGACAAGCTCCAACACACTTTCATCGACAGTGACTTCATCAGAGGACCGCCGTAAGAACCTGATATCAAACGGAGGGTCTACACACGACTTCAGGACATGTGTGGCCTGTCATTTCTGCGTCCTTGAGTCATTGCTTCTTGGAAGTGCCGTCAACAGATCACCACCACGAGCATGTTGTCAAGCCCCAGCACACCCTCATCGACAGTGACCTCAACAGAGGAGCAGGACATGTGGAAACATTTTTCCCGTCATTTCTTCGTCATTGATGTATGTTCGAGCATGGCAACGCGCATGTGCTGTGTGCTTTTCGAGCTTCGTCGGCAGATCACAACCACGCCGACGAGCACGTGGACAAGTTCGAACACAGCCATGTCCACGCAGGACAGCAGCCATTGCTTGCCAACCGTCCTCTCATCACGTGGCAGTATTTTATCAGGTCGTCGCACTCGCGTTTGAGTGAAGCAAAGCAACAACTCACATCAAAAGGGGCAAGGGGCTCGCGGGATTGCCGCATCACTCGTAGTGTTTCAGGAAACATCGACTTCCACGCCCGCTCGACCCAACCTTGCCCTCTACAAGCCTGTGCTGGCATCCTCTTTCCGTTCGGCTACGGAGTATGCCGCTCAAGCCGTGGATGGGAACTTGCAGTCGCAGTGGGCCTCTGCGCCACAGAGTCTGCAATGGCTGTGGGTGGATTTGCTTGGCGTCTACGAAGTCGCAGCTGTCGCCATTTCCTGGGGTGAAGAGTCAGAAGCTGTGCTTCAAACCAGTTTCAATGGCCTGGAATGGAAAGACGTCTCAGATGTCGCAACTGGCCCAGACTCAACTGATTTCAACCCGCCCATTGAGGCGCAGTGGTTGCGGGTAGTGTGCCAAGAAAGCTGCAGCATCCGCGAGCTTGCCGTTCATGGTGACAGGCCACAGCAGAACCTTGCTCTTTGGCGGCCCACACTGGCCTCCTCCCATGCAGGCTTTGAGCATGTCTCGCGCATAGTGGATGGTTTGGAGGAGACTGAGTGGATCTCTGGGTCAGAATCCCAGCCCTGGGCCTGGGTGGATCTTCTTGGGCTCTACACGATCTCAGAGATTGAGGTGCTTTGGGGAGTAGCATATGCAGCACACTATGAGTTACAGACGAGCCGTTCCGGCGTCGACTGGGCCACCGCTGCCACAGAGGCCGGCACAGAGGGCAGCCGGGTGCGCACCAAGCTTCCAGCCGGCACGCAAGCACAATGGGTGCGCGTCCTGTGCGTCTCCTTGGCCGGCTTTCAGTGCGGCATTCGAGAGCTTCGGGTATTTGAAGCAGTAAAACCGGTCCCGGGCTCCCCCTCCTCCGAGAATCTCGCTCAGAGCAAACCTGTCTTGGCTTCGTCCGAGCTGTTGCCGCATGTTGCTACCAAAGCCGTGGATGGACTCAGTGACACGCACTGGGCCTCTGCTGCTTCAGGCAACCAGTGGATCCGCCTGGACCTTTTGGGCCACTACGTCCTCAGCCATGCTGTGCTGCTTTGGGGCCCAAGTTCAAGTGCTTGGCCAGTCAGCTATGATCTTGAGATCAGTTTCAATGGGTTGACATGGGAAGCCCTCGTGGCAGACATCCTCCCGGAGGCTCAAGTACAAACAGAGCTCCCGGCAGTGACCACGCAATGGCTGCGGGTCTACTGCAGGAGTGAACACGGCTGTGGCATTCAGGAGCTGCAGGCCCTGGCACTTCCAGAGAACGGCTTGACAGTAGACAATAGATATCAGTAGCTATCAACAGATGAGAATAGATGACTTAATAGATGACTTAATCGTTAAGGCTCTTAAGGACCCTGAGAGGTGAGCATGTGGAGACATGTGGAGACATGTGGAGACACTGTCATTAACACGGTCAGGTCTACGGGGCGCCGGCCCTTCGGCGGCTTGCCTTGCGGCACATCTCAGAGCACATCTCAGAGTGAGTTTCGTTCATTTTCGTTAACTCAAATCTGTGAAAGTAAAATGTTAAAAGGTAAAGAAGCTCTGAGTCCTTAAGGTCACGTCGCAGCCCAAGAAGGGGGCCTTCTTGGTGAGGCTCTCACATTGGTGCGCTCACGATTGGTGCGCTCTCACGTTGGTGCGCTCTCTATTGGTGTACGCTCTCTCTCATTCAGTAGGGCTGACGCCGCTTCCGCCGACCCCGGCCCCAAATTTTAAGGCTCCTTTTTTTCCCCCATAAGATACCCTGAAATGGGAGAAACCGATGATAAATAGGAAGATGGGCTACAGTCAGAGCTGGTCGCGTCCTCAATAATTGAAACAATTTTATCGACGAAAAAGCCACCGAGAGCACAATTGACCTCCATCTACACCACGCCCCCCCCCCCCCCCCCCGGCCTCGGGCGGAGGTGGAGTGAGGGGGCGGGGGCTGAAGGGGTGGGCCGTGGTGGGGGGTGGTGGAAAGAGGCCACAAAGCTCACGCTCAGAAGGAAGGGAAAGAAGGGGCGGGGCGGATGGTGGGGAAGGTGTTGGAAACAGATGAATGAAGGCTATGCCAGCCCCGGCGCGCTCCCGGGGTCGACGGATTCACACAACATGAGATGCTGTGTCCATTGCGGGCCCATCCGTTTCAGGCTGGCGCTTGGGCTGGCGCTTGTGCTGGCAGTCCTCACGATGTCCGGGTGTGTCTGGTGCCTTCTGGGCAAGGATGGATTGCAGCTGCCACAAGATGCCCCAAAAGTCATGTCTGGTCTTGTGTCCTTGGGGAAGCGCGCCTGTGAATAGGAGAGCAAGATCCAGCTACGCCAGCAGAGACTAGATGCTCAGGCCCAGCGTTTTCTGCGTTTCATCTCCAATGGTCCAATGGCCTGAGGTTGTTTGACATAGTCCCGTCCTTGAGCATTCCAGTTCCTGCGCCCTTCCTTCTCTGTCCAAGCCTGAAGCACCGAACGCTCTCCAACCCGAACTCAACCGTAACACATCCTCATATGCTCTTCAGCAAAGCATATAATGGCCAAAAGAACAGATTTGGTGGTTCGCAGGCGGTGTCTCCAGTACTGTTGGCGCGCACGTCGGTCAATGGGGTGAAGAACGGGACTCCAGGGGAAGAGCTTGAGCAGGATGAGCAAATTTAACGTTTGCCAAGGGCGGCAGCGCCACCTCCCTTACGGGGAGCAAGAGAGAGGACTAGACTAGATTCGAGGTGGTTTGCGTATGTACTCTTGGCGTGTCGCGAGTATCAGTCACTCCTCTCCGCGTAGATGCCTACAGCCCAGCTTGGCGTAGCTCATGCTTCCAAGCGCCGTGCCCTGAAAGCATCTGTCTGTCCTCGAGAGCTTTTCCTATGCTGTTAAGGCGTTTCTTCGAGCATCCCCGTTTTGCCTGTCAGCCCTGTTGAGGTTGATACTTTAATTACGCTGCGTTTTCACATTTCTCTTGGTCTTGGTGTTGTTTCGGGATGTTTCGGGTATGCTTACAGTATACGCTACGATATCTGCATGGTCCATGGTGGCTTTCCTGGTGCTTTCAGGGCAATTGCCATCTACGCGGTGATGCGTCTGCACAGAGGCCTTGACCGAGGCATTCTGCACAAGACGTCTAGACGCGTCCGTCCATTGCTTTAGTTATATTTTATGTCCAGTCTCGTAGCCCGTAGCTTCATGCCAGGGGCATGAGTCCAAAAATGAGCTGATATTTGAAGCTCGAAGAGATCCCATGTTGGTAAGATCAGTTGTGCCATTTGCCTTGTAAAACGAGCAGCAGCTCATGTTTAGCAGCGGGTCGTAGCACCGGCAGACACCAGTTGCGGATGTTGCGGCCGGCCCTTACAAGCACCAGCAGGTTTTCAATTTTGGATCCGCCCTTGTTGTTGTAGCCCAGCCACCACGGCAGCGTTACAGCCACAAGGGAAGGGGTCTTCCAAAAAGGCAGACCCCCGCGGAACGTGTAACGTGATGTAAATGGCCTCGTCCGCAAGCGTGTTCACCTGCACTGAACTTACAGAACATGTTTCTCATTGTTTCTCATTGCTTGCAATAATGGCGGCGATATGCGGCGATGAGCACTCTGCATTACAGATATGGCCCAAGGCAACCGTACAGCAGCAGAGACGCATAAAGAGCCGATGCGGCAGAGTGGCAGACCATGCAGAACGCCATAAAACCGAACAAAACCCCCAAACCCTGCCGCTTCCTGGATCCATGGACTCGCGCGTTCTCGCGCCTTCTGCGACCCTCAGATCCAGGGGATGCCCTTCCCTGAATGTTCGAAGTTTTCCTCAAAGCTCGCGATGCCGACCTCCGATGCAAACGCAGATCCACACAGAGGATTGAGCATCGGTTAGTTCATGTTAGTTCCCAACAAGCTTTGTTTTGTCTACCTACCTACGTGACACAAATATTCTTCTATTGCTATCTAACGAAATTTTCATGCTGTCTGATGTTATCGAATGGTATCAATGTGCTCTACTGCGACCAACTGGCATCGGATACAATCTAGTACTGTTATGTGCAGGTCAGCTCTCTTTGCTTGATGGTACGGAGCACCATCGCCGGCATTTGGCTTAAGGAGCTCACTTGCAGTCACCTTTCCTCTCAGAACCCGCACTTGGAATCTTACAAGTCCAGCCCTTCGCAAATCCAGCCTGCATGTACACGAAATCCCAGCAACCCAAAACTCTCTGCGCCCAACTCTCTCCCTCCCAGCCCTTTCCGGTGGCCTTGGTGCTCGGGGGCGCTCGCGGCGCTGCACAGCCGGGACTCCCAGGCGTGTGACAAGGCATTTGGATACAATAAAGGCCCCCCGCATTTGCCCGTGATCGGGCATTCATATGCTAGAAGATCAAGGTCATCGTCCGTGCCGATGGTGCCACTGCACTGAGCAACAGTTACGAAAGTATCAGTTTTTTGGTCGGTCGGTCGGTCGGTCACCATGCGCGTGCGCTTGTGCGGCGTGTGCGTGCGTGCGCGTGCGCGCGTGCACGTGCGTGTGATCGCGCGGATCGTAGAGACCCCCATTGTTGGGAAAATTCCCACTAGGGGTACAGACGTGGCTCGAGGCAATATTTGTGGGCATTTTCAGGGTTTCAAGGGCCATGTGGGTTTTTGGCTAACTTTGGGTCTACAAAAAATACCCAGCTGGATGCATGACGTGCTTGGACTCTTCGTTTCTAACGATCCTGATCGAATATTGCTCGTCCAAAACGCTGATATGAACAGATATTGCTCGAAGAGCCTCCGGGCAATTCGGCCGAACGTGGGAAAATCTGTGCATTTTCGTAGGCGCCCTACCCTGAACACACAGAGGGTGGATCCACGGCGGCCAGACACTTGTAGGTGCGTTATAACATGCCTCCCAAGTTCTAGTTTCCTTCATCCTTCCAGTCCTCATAGTCCTTTCGGAGTCTCGCGTATGGGCTGAGCCGGCTGAGCAACTACCGAGTGTGGTGCCGGGAGTGTGTGAGCCGCTATCGCAGTCGCTTTGCGCGCACCCCGGAGCCAGAAGAGGGAGATTGAGACTGATGGACTGATTGAGACACCTCTGCCAAGGTTGGAGGAACAGGACATAGTGCTTGTCTGACGGTGGGCGAGGTCCTGAGGTCAAAGTCAAAGCATGTATTGGTAGGCACATGGCCGATGTCAGTGATGCCGGCGCTTTCCGGAGTGTTTGGGGTGGATGGTCGGGAGAGGGCTGACGAGGTATACTCTGTGAATAGGTAATCAAAAAACTTGGCCCACCACGCGCCTCCTCGATCTGTACGTGTGGTGTATGCCCGGACGCAGACTTCATGGGAGGGCAAAGCCGAAATGGAAAGAACACAGAACAGCAAACAACAAAGTGGGGAGGGGAGGGGAGGGAAGGGTGGGTGTTTATCAGGTCGTCTCGTGTCTGAAAAAACGAGCACCCGGCGTTGATCAGCCTCCTCCACTCTGCCCGTTTGTGTCTGATGTGGCTGGGGGGCTGACTTCATGAGCATTTTTCCGGCGTAGTTGCCATACATCATGAGTTTTTTCCGCGCATCTGAGGGCTAACACGATATGGGACTGCACATCTTCATTACATGATTTGCTTCAGACCTGAAACAGTCAGCATGTTGCCATGACCCTGCAAAGAAAAACGCCTTCAAAACGTAAAAGCCAGGGTAGGTAAGAGAGAACCCGTGAGTTGCCTGTAAATTTTGTGTCAAGCCGCATGACTCGGGGTTTCAGAATTATGTGCAGGGATCTTCAGATGCCTCCTGGGACCATGTTTGTCAACACAGGGGTTCACACTTCCAGGGCTTGATTTCCTGGCCTGATTTCGGGCGCGCCAAGGTGAATCCTTGGCGACAATAGGGGCGTGTAAACACCGTTTCGGTCAGATCGAGTTGGATTGAACTGGGACCTGTCTCTGCGACAGTCACTAGAAATGGTCCGCTTTTCGTCTCAGCTGGTAAAGCATGCTTAGATCTGCTTAGTGTGCAGTCTGATTCTTGGTGCGCTCTGGTCCTTGTGGGTGGCAGCGTCTTGTGTAAACTGCCTTTTCACTTAATTTCCCCTGGCTACACAGGCTTGTGTTGCCTGGTGTAGCACAACCGCTACACCTGGCGATTTAGCCGAAATCGACGCTAGCGTGTCAGTAAGGTTTGGAGTTTAGTTGTTGAGATAATGTGTAGGTTTAGGGCTCTTGTGTTTGGAGTTTGCAAGGTTGTTCTGCAGTTGGCGATTGCACCACGCAGGACCTTACAATGGTGACAGAGTTATCTGGCGTCGCATTAGACTAACAGCTTTGGGGCCCTAAATCCTGAACCCTGGGCCCTAAGGCGCCCATCGCGCGCCGAGTTCTGAGCTGCTGTCGCACCCCCGCACCTCCCGGCTTTTAGGGTTTAGGGCCTTTAGGGTTTATAGGGTTTAGGGGCATCCCTCGCGGTGTGCCACAACAACGGGCAAACGGATGATGGGACCGTGACCTCTACCTCTTTTCCCGAAAAGGTGGGTGTAAGAGAAGGCTGCCTTGGTGAGAGGGAGATTCTGGAAACATGCGAGAGGCGCCTGGAGGAGGCCAATGCCGACCTTAAGAGTACGGTGCTCGCTTGCCAGGCAGTAGAAGCCAGACACACGAAGGCAGTCAGTGATCTCAATGCTTGTTTGAAGGCCTTGGCAGACCTGCCAGAGCAGATTCAATTCGCTCTGCCACGGAGGATCCGCGAGCAAGAAAGCCTGATCAACAGAAAGAGATCGGCCTTGACAGATGCGGAGAACAAGAAGGAATCGGCAAAATCAGACATTACCTGGACTTGTTCTGGCTTCAGCGTGTTCAGTTCGCCATTTTGCTCGTTCTCCCTCAAGAAAGAATTTAAAACGTTCACAAGTACATACAGTGCGAGAACTGCAAGCAGGCACACAGCAAGTTCTCCAGCGCAAAGCGAGCAGAAAGCGGGGCGCAAAGTGATTTGAGGCGAGCTGAGTCTGATCTTCATCTTCGATCTCTTGAAACGAAGCTACGCAGAGCTGAAGAGCGTCACGAAAGATGTCGAGGGGAGACTCCTTCTTTGGAAACTGTCAAGGACAGCTTGGACCAGGAGTGGCTGCCGCAGAAAGAGCATTGCCGTGTGGCGGCAGCAGACTACCAGAGAAAGCAGAAGCAGTTCATCCCGGAGCGTGCTCGGAGCCACTACGACGACTCATGCGAGAAATCTTGCCTGGAGTCCAGCAGGGGTTCATGCGCAGTCGTCGAGGGCAACCAGGATGGGGCATCCCATGTTCGTGGAGGAGTTCATGTCCCATGTGCGCCACCTGAGCCTTCGTGGATCATGGGCCCCCTCCGAGATGCCGAACAAGAGTCCTTGGAGAAGCAGTGCCAGAGGATCCTGCAGGTCCAACATCCTCAGTTTGCACAAAGCATCCTTAAGGTGGGCTGGCTCTGGAGGAAGGGCCGGGTGTGGGGCTGGGACAAGCACTTCGCTGTGCTTGAGTCTGCTGATGCCGTGCGCTCGGCTGTTCTACGCTTCTACGAAGACGACCCCTCCTCCAACCAGGAGATTTCAGCTTCCGCTCCCTCCATTATCTTGTGGGATGCGAAGGGTGTAAAAGCCAAAGCTGGCCCACACTATGGCCTCAAGGATGGAGAGCTGTGCTTCAAACTCTACCACTTCTACACCGATTACAGATTCTGTGTTCCAAAGGACGTGCCCAGAGACAAGTCTACTGAACGTGCCGAGTGGATGGATTTGCTGAGCTCAAGCATGAACTTTTCGAACTGGGAGTAGGCTCGGTGCCTGCAGCATTCCGTGCAATTAGGAGCACAGTCGGCCACACTGTGTACCGAGCTCAATGACACTCCACACACGAGAACGACTGTGTCGCCTTAATGCATGCTGTCTCTAGACTCACTTGGCCTTAGTCTTAAGGCCGACAGCATTGTCACGCGACGTTGCGTCTCAAATCTGCTCTAATCTGAGACTGGAAGTGCACTTGTAGAACACCTAGTACTACTTTAGCCGCAGTCCTGCCTGCTCACACAATTGTCAACATTTACTATCTGGGTTTGCAACGGTTTCAGTGAGCTTTGACATTCGATTTCCAGGAGATCAGCCCCGAGACCCCCGAAACTCCAATTTCGTTCATTGGAGGGGAGCAGCCAAGCAAAAGAAGGTAGAAGGTTGTTGCGTGCATGTGGCTTGGTTTAAGTTTTTTTGCCAAAGGGGGAAAGTTCTGATCCCCCTTGTAGCAATGGAGGGTGGTGTCGATAGCCGAGAGCAGAGGGATTTGAGTGGCTGCTCCGTCAGAAACAGAGAGCCAGACAATGCTTTGCAGGAAGAGTCCCTTCCATTGCCTTCTCAGGGCGTTCCAAAGGTGATGTGACCTATCTTGGCTTCTCTAACAGGAATTGAAGAGCGTCATGATGGGTGTGGTGTTGACTAGTGACGTGTTGTCGAGGATGGAAAAAAACACGCTCCGAAACAATTTCGTGCTTTGAAGCGTCAACATATGGGGTTCCGCCCTCGTAGAGGGCGAGCAGGCCTCCAATATGGCATCCGATAACAGCAACTACAGCCGGACGGAAATTGTTCTTGGACCCTGCATCCCTGGCCAACAAGCCTGAAGCACCATCACGTAGACACCCAGAAGGCCATAAAACCCGAGCCTTGTACCTTAAACCCTATATGCGTTCTTGGAAGATGCCCAGCTCTTGTCCTGTCTTGGCTCAATGTCGGCGGTGCAACAGCTTTACGACCTTCTCGAATCTCGTGGAAGGACACTCCACCAGGGTTCAGGGTAAAGTATCGAGTCCTGAAGAGTTTTTAGAGTTTTGATCCATTTCAACCCGACCCTTGCAGTCCCATTGACACTTGCCGATGGAGATCATGCTACGTAGTGCGTTTCGATTGATACGCTGGATGTCACCAGACTGCAAATACTGTAACTATGCAAGAAGGATCTGCTCAGCTACCCCTGCAGTTTGCCAGTGCATCCTCTTAGCCTGTCGAAACCGACATGCTGCGATTCGCGGACGCTGGGCTCTCGGACTCAGCAACGGCCCAGAATTCTTAAGTCCCAGCACACACCGAGCATTTGTCTGAAGTCTGAGCAGGCAGAGCTTAGTCGGAATATGGCATAAACAGTTTGGCTACATATGGCAAGGTACCTCGGGACGAAACTGTTGACACATGGCCCGATCGTTGGCCCTTCTTGTCTTTGCCAGTCGGTCTATCTGGGTGCCTCTCGACGTCTGTTTTGGAGTGACTGTTGATTCGGAATACCGCGGGCAGGGCTCAGCAAAGTGAACACCGTTCTTGCCACTTCAATGGTTAAACGGCCCTAACCTGAGCTTGGAAACTCCAGATAGGGTTCAGGGGCTTCTGCTGCACTTGAATTCTGTCAACCGAAGTGGCCCGCGCCAAGACCTCCCGAAAGCCTTAGCCGGAGTTGACCCTCACAACAGATCCTGAACGAAAGCTTTCGGGCCCGAGCGCTGCCGAACCCCTAAACAGAGGCCCTAGAGGTGTTGAGGCCCTGACCCCGCAAACAGACAGGAGTATAGGCGATTATGGCGATTTAGGGTTCTGGAATGGGGACAAATGGGAACATGGCGTGCGATGAGCCGAGCTGGGCGTGATGGCGCAGACAGCCGGCGCGGCTTGGGCTCAGTACATGGGGTTCTCAGTTTGAGGGCATCGTTTGGTGAAATTTAGAACCTTCCCTGATCCTTTTGAACCAGCGTATACAAGACAAAAGAGCCCTAAGAACACACAGGTCCACTTAATGTCCCGAACAACTCGCCTAACCCTGCCTCCTTCCTACCAGCAGCTGATTCCCAAGCGCTTGTGCCGCTTGTGTCAGAAAAGATGAAGATGAGGATAATCGCTGCCTCTTTGTTACAGCTATCCACTTCCCTGAGCATTGAATGGTTCCTCGCATGCCGTTGGCCGGGCATGGGGACAGTGTGTTTTGGCATCAAGCGACCCGCAAGCCCATGGCATAGGACAGCGGGCTTCGACTCGCTTGGTGGTGCGTAGGCTTTGTCTGGAGGGTGCTCATGGCATCATGGGGACGTTCATCCTCATGATCATTGTTGTCCTCAATACCCCGCAGCCCTGAAAGCCCTGAGAAAGATTCAAATATTTACAACTTACCCCAGTCAAGCTCCCAGAAGATACCAAGCTCCTTCCCAGGCCAGGGTTCCATCATACTAAACTTAGCTTTTATGCAGTTCTCTTCATATGTCCTTCATACCAGCACATATACTCAACAGCCCAGGAGCGGTTCGCGCAGCTGCAGCGCCGCCTCTTTCCCCGCGTCGAAGGCCGGGAAGACGCCCGGCGACAGAGCGAAGCAGATCGGCAAGTCGGTTTCTCAAAGTTGTGTGGGTCCCAGCCCTTTAGGTTGAGGATGCTGGTTGAGGGCGTATGATTCCAGAAGCTGAGGATGTCAAAGGCCAGCTCTTTGTCACCGTGGTCCGCGCAACGAATCTAAACCTGCCTGCCTTTCGGTGGTTCCCGCCGCAGGCTGCATGAAAAGTGCACGGGCCATCCAAGATGTTCATACTATGTCGTATGTAATGTAAGCATGATCTTACAACAGATGTGGGCATAGGCTAAGGGGTTTCTCGAGTTTCTTCACATGCCCTGGACGAACTTGCAGAGGCGGTCGTCGCTTTGGGGAACCATGAGCGGCGATCCCCCCTGGGCGAAGCCTTTGGAGCTCACCCTGTTTTCGGCTGGCGCGCCGAGCTCCCTTTCACTGGGCACGAGTCACACCTGGTTTTCGAGGTGGTCTGTGAGGAGTTCCTGGTGGGAAGCTGCCTCGTGCCCTTGCAGGAGGTACTGAGCGGGGCAGCAACGGGAGAATACCGCCGGGTGCTGCCCTTGGCTGAAACCGGACAGGGAGAGCGCCCCGAGCTTTACGTTGTGGTGACCACGACCTTGGAGGGCGACCTGCGCGTGCCAGTGGTTCAGGAGGAGGCTGCCAAGCAGCTCCGTGCACGAACCTCACAAATCCGGGTGACGCTGCGCTCCCTACGCGTGGCCGAGAAGTTTGCAGTGGACAATGGCACCAACAAGATTTTCCCTTACGTGGCCGCAGCGTGCGGTCAGCAGGTTGGCCGGACGAAAGCTGCCTTTCTGCTGGCAAGCCAGGAGGATGCTGAGAAGTTTGTTTTCACGAGCCTCCCAAACAGCAACTTCGAGTGCGGTGAGCTCCTCCGCGGCCGTTTTGAAAAGTACCGAGCCGTGCCCTCCTCACAAGAGCGACACGCGTCGCAGCCGCAGTACGGCTATCGCATGCGGGTGGACGCGAGCGGCATCCAAGTCTCATATTGCTACGTGGAGTTTACATTCTGGTACCAGCAGCAGGAGCTGCTGGAGCTGTCTGTGTTCGATGACGTCTTCCTGGTCTATCCCGACCCCCTGGTGGCCAACGGCGCCTTGGACCTGAACGAGGCCTTCCGTCTGGCCTTTGCCGAGGATGGCACTTTGCTGGATGACGACGGCCGACAGCCAAGTGTCATCATGCGCGTGCCGCTGTCCTCGTCCATCGCGTCCTTGCGGCCGTCAGGGACCCTCGGCAGCAGCGCAGCGGCCGATGGCGGGGATGGCGGAACAGGTGGCAGCACCAGCTCCCATGTTGCGGGGGAGATCGAGCTGCAAATCGAGTTTTTGGAGGAACCGCTGGCATGCCCTACGGCACTCGAGAGCACCTTTCGCCGGGCGATCCGAGCCAAGAAGGAGGTCTCCGATCTGCATCGGGAAAGCTTGCAATACCTGGCGGACATCACCGAAGGGGACCTTACCGCCTCTGGTTTCCCTCCTCTGGAGGACAGATCTATTCGTTTTCAGTAGTGACTCACAAGCACTTGCATCCAGCATGAAGGGTCAAACCTTTTCAAGCTGCTGTGTTTGCAAGGACCTCTTCAGCGAGCAGCGGCGGGCCCTTGCGATCCTTTGTTCTTGCTGCGCCGTCGCTATGACCAGGAGGCAAGCCGCCGGGGGCTTTGGGGTGGCGAAAGGGTAGCGGAGGGCTAGAAGGTCAGCATTTCCATGAAACTTACGAGGCATAGCAGTTAGCCTAAGGTTGTGGGCTGTAGAAAACTGGAGTAGCAAAACTTCCACAATGCTCACCCCTCCCAAGATCTGCACCTTTGCACATTTCCACTCACCACATATGCACACCATAACTTTCCCTATGTGCGTCAGCACTGGCGTGGCCCCCCTGGCCTCCCTTCCCCTAGCACCCCGGGATGAAGGAAGACTCGCTTAACTGTTTCACACACCCAGCCCCAAGCTATGTATGTATGTATGTAGCATCCCCAAGCAGCCCCAGCCTTTCAAGCCCCTAAGCCACTTTCAAAGTGCTCCACTCGGGTCCCCATTAGTGAGCCCTCCAAGTACAAAAGTTACTGGGGGCCTGTGAGGCTGGCCAGCCACGAGGGCCGGGCGACCTCGCTCTACACGGACCGACTGCGCAGTGGCATGGCTTGAGAGTTTCGGCCGTTGCTTGGTGCTGCTTTGCGTTCTTGAATGGCTCTGGTGCTGAGGATTCGGAAGTTCAGGTTGCAAGAGCATCAGGCAACTCCACAAGAGCCTTCCATCGCGTCATACCCAGCCGTTGACTTGCAGCGCACAACTTGGAGTAGCTGCGCTGACAGTAGCTGCTTCTGATGAGCAAGAGCGATGCACACAAAACAAAGCCCACTCCCTTGGCCCCAGTGCAAACATGCTGTAGACTTGAACGACCAAATGGCCATCAACTCGCAAGCATTGTGCTTAGCCGCAACAAGAACGAAGTTACAGCTGCCATGCCCTACGTGTGCCTTATCCGCCTTATCCCTCTTCCCTCTTCACAAGCATGGCCCTTGAAGCCATGAGTTCGGATGCCCGAAAAACTCTGAACCCAAAGCCATGAGCCTGAGGCGTCACGGAGGCACTTTGCCAGCTGCTTGTGCCCAACGACCCGGAGCTGCAGGAGTTTTGGGAAGATGGCTGAGAGCATTTTGGGTTGCGGGGGTAAACCCATGTAATCCCTAGCCCCTGCTCAGCCCTGAGCCCTTAAAAAAGGCGAGGCCCCCAAGTCTAAGAGACTCTGAAATCTCTGAAGCCTAGACATCGTCTTAGGCTGTGGTCGGACCTGCTACAGAGCAGAACCCAAGTCCAAACCTTCCAGGTTGCTTCAGTTGAGAGCTCCAAGCCGCCAAACGCAAACTTGGCCACCGTTAAAGGGTCAAAGTGCATCAACATACGGTCATACGTTCCTCCCCACTCCGAAGCCGGGCTGCATCCGTGCGCATACTGCGAAGCTGTCCTTGCACGGCGAACCCGCACACCACAAGCCAGAAACCATGCTTGTTGGCTTCATCTCTGCCGTAGGACGAGCTCCTGAGCTCCGCACGAGATGTGGTGACCTACAGACCCGTTGATGAGGTTCCCTCGGGTGCGGTGTCATGAAATGTTTGACATGGCCGGGTGGGCTAACCGCCACTGCAACGTCCATGAAAGTGCTAAGTCGAAATTAGGCAGTATGCGTGCCTCCTGATCCGAGCCACTCTGTGAGGTTTTTCCAAGCCTTTAATTGTGAGATTCCTCATCAACTCCCTTCAACCAACGCTGTCTGCGTCGGCCACGTGCTCTCAGCTCAACTGTGGAACCATGGAAGGTTAACGAGCTTTAGGCTTCTCAGCGATTCAGAATCCAAAGCTGCTTGAGGCAGCAGAGGCCTACCGCCGAAACTGCCGCCCTCCGCTGTCGCGCTGGGAGGTGCTGTTGCCCCTAGGCGAGGTCGGGTTGTGCTCGTGGTTGGAGTAAAACAAAGCCTCTCCCAAACTCGTCTCCGCACAAGACTTCCAGGCAGTTTGCTGGCCGCCGCTTCCACCGGTGGTGCCCTATTGCGCATCACCCTGCGGAAGGTGAGCTTTGGGGGAATTCGATTTCGAGAGGTCTCCCTACCGTATAACCCAATTCACACCCTGGCTAAACTGATCGTATGTCAAGCATTGAAGGCCGCAGGGTGTTTGAGGCTACGGCTAAGGTCCAAGCCCTGAATAGTACCGCATGTAATGCCCTAGACCTTGAGGGAGAAAACATATTCCAAGCTCTTTTTCCACCCTGTGCACCCCATACTGGACCCATTCAACCCAGCGTTGAATCGCCTTTGACACCCCCTCTGCGTAATGGATACTCACCGGATGCGACGACCCCCTGTGACAAGGTGGCCGATGCCATTGAGCCGGAAAGCTGCGCGGGGAGGCTCTTCTTCGAGCTGATGGCCTTTAAAGCTGCACCACAAGACAGGGTTAGAGAGAGTTAGAAAGAGTGGCAGTTTGTGGCAACTTGTGGAATTATCAACTCCAAGCCCCCCAGAAACCCCTAACACGCCCCCCAAAATGTATTCGACCTGTAGGAGCCCAAGACAGTCCCAAGCCTTCTGCCCAGATATCCTGTTCAGTTTTGGGGGCCTTCTAAGCAGGCCCTCTCAACTCTACGGGATGTTCCCCCTTCATACTAACAGTCCTTAAATAGGGATTCTAGTACCCCGTACTATAACCCCTATTCTTAATCCCTGTTAGTATAAGGGGGGAACATCCCAGCTCTCTCCCCAACTCTCCCAGTAGCCCCAAGGAGCGGCACCTCGTGGCCTTGGGCCTCCCGGCGCCGGAGCCGCCGTCGCTGGAGCTTGCAGAGGCAGCAGGTGCCCAAGGGTGGTGTTTCCCCCCAAAAAATGCGTGGGCTGTGGGTCCACAGGTGCTGTCGCAAGTTTTGGTCCACTTGCGAGCCCGTCTTGACGGTTCTTTCGGACCGCAAAGCGTGTCGAATCATGACAGAATGCCTCTGCGATGCACGGAGAGAGTCTTGCAAGTGCGAACAGGTCGTTAACATGTCCCCTTGCTTGTCGCTTGTCGACGCAAAGGAATCGGCCACCTAAACCCTGAACTCTACGAACCAACCCCAGTTTGCGTGCTTTGTTGGACAAAGCACGAAAGCATGCAAGGTCCAGCATTCCTACGAAGCCCGGACTCGCACAAAACAACAAAGATTCCCACACCCAGACCCCGCAGACCGAGAGAGAGCGAGAGCGAGAGCGAGAGAGAGAGAGAGAGGGAGAGAGCGAGAAGAGCGAGGGGTCCGCTGGACCCCCAAGCCCCGAAGACGAAGACGAAGACGAAGAAGAAGAAGAAGAAGAAGAAGAAGAAGAAGAAACAGAAGAAGAAGAAGAAGAAGAAGAAGAAGAAGAAGAAGAAGAAGAAGAAGAAGAAGAAGAAGAAGAAGAAGAAGAAGAAGAAGAAGAATAACAACCACAACAACAAAGCAAGAGAAGAAGGAGCAGAAGAAGAAGAAGAAGCAGAACAAGAAGGAGAAGGAGAAGGAGAAGGAGGAGCAGAAGAAGGAGCAGAAGAAGAAGAAGCAGAAGGAGAAGGAGAAGGAGAAGGAGAAGGAGAAGGAGGAGGAGGAGGAGGAGGAGAAGAAGGGGGCAGACAAAGAGGAAGAATAAGAAGAATAAGAATAATAAGAATAATAATCAGAAGAATAAGAAGAAGACGAAGACGAAGAAGAGGACCAGGAAAGAGAACGAGGGAAGCAGCAGCGACCTTGAGCGAGACCAAATGACAGCAGAACTACGAGCCGGGGAATACAGTAGACATACACCTCAGAAGGAGAACCGCCTCGACATAAGGATAACAGCTGGTACGAAGGGTTTGGGGGATTTTCGGGGAAGGTTTCGGAAAGACGAGGTGATAGCTGTGCAAAGGACAGAGTCAGAGAAGTGGCTTAACCCCTGAGCATTGCAAGCATCGGTGGTGCCTCTGGGGTCATTCCTCTCGTGTCTTGTTCATGTGAAAAGGAAAAGCCGATGGTCTCACATCCGAGGAACACAACCTGGTAACAATGCCAGAAAACCAGTCACAAAGCACCGTCAGGGCTCCTTCAAGCCCAGCAGGAGAGAAAGAAGAAGAAGAAGAAGAAGCAGAAGAAGACGAAGAGAAGAGCGAGAAAAAAAAAAAAAAAAAACAATGAGAGGCCCTCTTTATGCTCACACTGTTCCTACGTCTCACCTACTGTGACAGTGAACATGGGCGCGCTCCAACGCACGAGGGCGTTCATGCTGGCAGACGAAGGTTACTTCACGTTCAAGACTTCATTTTGCTTCAAAATAGTATAGCTCACTCGTGTGATACGCCAATAAATTCCTGCTGCGATCATTGCATGCAATTCGTTAAAACACGTTTCTAGATGGGGAGACCATGATAACTAGGAGCCAAACACTAGCCAAACTACAAAATTCGTTGACTTCAAAGCCTAGAAATTGAGATGTTTAATTCCCCCTCGAGGAGCCGAGCCTCGCGTTCTGGCTGCCGAGGAGGCGACGCCCATGGCCTTCGAGCAGCACCCTGGCCCTGGCGATACAAGGTAGGGTTTAGGGTTTAGGGTTTCGGGTTTAGGGTTTAGGGTTTAGGGAGTCTTCTCTCATCTGGGGCTCAGGTTGTAGGACTCGAGGACTCGAAAGTTTGAGCTTGAAGGACTGCTGCGCAAGGATTTCAAATTCCGGCTAGAGTCGAGAGTGTTTACTTTACCCTTTCTGCTGCAGACATGAAGACACGAAACGAAGCTAGAGGAAGCTCATTTCTCCCACCCGCAACTTCCTAACCCAACGTCGAAAGCCATTGGTCGCGGCCTTCAGCCTGACCTCCAAAGCCAAGAACCCTCGTCGAACTGCAATGTCTCCCGCAATCCAACCCAGAATCCGATCCTGAACCCGACCACGCCCCCCAAAGCCAACCCACCTGGCAAAACAAAACCTGGAGCAGAAAACAAACTTGGGAAACTTCCCAGGCACGACCAACTGCGCCGTGGCCGAGCGGCAATGTACACGAACTTCTTCCCTGAGAGCCTTTGGCCTTGTGGTGTTTTTGCTTGGTTTTCGGCGGGGCTGGGGTTGGCGGCTAGATTCTTTTTCATACTCACGTGCAAAGATATGACAGCAATACCCTGAGTTTCAGTTCGTGTCCATGTCACGTGCATAGCATTTCAGATGGCAACCCACATGCATGCAAAGGCCATACCGATCTTACACGCTACGTATGTTGACTGGTTTAGTCGGCCGCATGCATATTTCAACCGTGAGCCGGCTGATGCAAAAGGCCAGGCTTGACAGCTTCTAAGCACAACAACAGAGCGTTTGTTGCATCTGGTGGATGCGAAGCAAGATCCGTTGAATCTGTACCTTCAAGGCACGGCAGCTCCCTCACCCCTGGCCCCGTCAACACAGACGTACGTCGTTGCGTAGTTCCAACGCCCCGAAGCTCCCGCACCTCAAAGCTCCTGCACTTCCCACAACCTGAATTGCAAAAGATCCCCTATAAACCTCCTAAACCCTAAACTCTCAATTCTAAACCCTAAACTCTAGACTCTAAACCCTAAAATGAAGACATCAGACCACCTGAGCCCCAAACGAGGATCGAGTGGAGCCGGCTCCTCGACAAGCAGCTGGAGGAGGCCCAGGTGGCTGCTGGGCCTCTGGAAGTACTTCTGTTCTCTCTTTGTGCTTTCGGGTGTACGGTTTAGGCCTTAGGGTTTAGAGGGTTTAGGCTTTAGGGTTTATAATGTGTGTGTTGTGGGTGCTCTTTCTGGAGATCGAGTCACACTTCCTGAAGCGTATTTCCGTAGAGTATCTCGTCCACAGTGTTCAACATGACTACCAGTGGTAGAATTCGTGTTTGTCACGGCCTTGACGTTTCTCACAGCTCAGGCCATCATACCGGGGAAGTATAAGTGGCCCGGTGGAAGATGCGTAGGGGCTTGGGTGGAGAGTTCAAGGTCCGTGGGCCTCCGGATCTGAGAATCCAGGGTTTGGTAGGATAGTGTTCTCGTGCAGGGTTTGGAAGGCTAGAGTCAGGCTTCGCGCTTGCAAACGGCGTTCGCTGCGCTTGGCTAGGGTTTGCAGGATGATAGCACTGCCGGGATGCCTGCCGTGGAATTGTGTGGTGCAAGACTCTGGGGCTCTGCACCTCCAAGCCCTCCGAAGGGCTATAAGCCCGCTTAAGGTACATCATTCCGTCGTCTCTGGTGCTGGGTGGCATGTGTGGCGCCCTTGCGCAGCATGGCCCGAAGCAGAATATTGAAAAGAAGGTTTCGAGTTTAGGTCACCGCGGGCTCTTGTCAACTTTGCCGGGGTCTTCAGTTGGAAGCTCCGGCATTCCTTGGTTGAAAGATGGGAGCAAGTGCCGATATCTATCTACCCTGGAGTTGCAAGTAACTCCGAAGTGGGGGAGGTGATGGCCTGGGTTTATTTTACATCCTACACCGTGTTTCTAAATCTCCAATTCTTAGGAACTAAAGCTCAGCTATGAGCAATTGGGATTGCTGGTGGAACTTGCGAGCCGGAGGTCTATCTCGTACATCGAGACGGCCGTCATCCTGCACACAATTGACGACGAGCTCCTCTGCCACAAGGAGCATGCTGCGGCCCTAAGCGCTCTCGAAACCAAGTGTGGGGACATTAGGCTGGAAACCCTGCAATCTTCAACAGGAAAAGTTTAGCTTCACTACGAAGAGCCCGCAAGACGCGAGAGGACTACAGCCACATGGCCCTTATGAGGGGCGCCTGCTGGTTGGTCAAGGCCCGCCGGGCCTGCTAAGGGTTTAGGGTCACCAAAGCTGCCTGCAGCACACAAGGCGCACAAGAAGGATGTAAAAGTGATGCCCCTTTAACGGCACGCGCTGCTGCGCCTGGGGCCCTCTGACTCTATAGACTCCAAAGTGGCTCTAGGCTCCCCGAGCACTCCCCCATGTTTTCCTTCACAGCACAATCGTAGCCCCCGTACCGCAAGCAGATTCCTGCTCTCCTTCAGAAATCCATGCAGCCCTAAACTAAACCTTCGCCCCCAAGTCGGGACGTGGCCTCAGCCCTCTGACCCAAGACCGGGACGCCGAAAGAAGGATTCGCACCTGGATGGTTTCATGGAGTGGGTCGCAACTTCGCCCGCATGGCTGAAGGCCGCTCGGTAGGAACTCTTGGGTGTTGGCAAGGCGGAGATGTGGGGTTAAGCGGCTGCTGCTCCTGCTGCTGCTCCTGCTGCTCCTGCTCCTGCTCCTGCTCCTGCTCCTGCTCCTGCTGCTCCTGCTCCTCCTGCTCCTCCTGCTGCTCCTGCTCCTCCTGCTCCTCCTGCTCCTCCTGCTCCTCCTGCTCCTCCTGCTCCTCCTGCTGCTGCTGCTGACTACGCTGCCGACGACAACTTCTAGTACTAGTACCAGTAGTACTTGTCCTAGTGCTAGCACATCTACTACAACCTATGATTCAATTTAACTCTATTTATCATGTGTATTTGTGCTTCTACTACTCGTACTAAAGTCGCATGGCAAAAGTTTGCCTGGTTGTTTTTGTGGGCAAGGCTTTGGCATGAGGCATGAGGTGTCGGAAAGGCTGTAACCAAAAGAAGGTCTTCTAGACCCAGCGACGGAGCTTCGGAGCAAAGCTCGGGGTGTGAGGACAGAAGCTGTTGAACGCTTGTGACATCGTGCCTTGTTCCATATCCTTGTGCAGTATGTTGGTACAGAGAGGCAACATTGCTGTAAATACCGGTGCTTTGGCGTGTTCCCGAGCCGTAGAAACGTTGTAAAAGTGTGTGTGGGTGTGGTCGACATATGAACAGCATTATTAGCCTCCACCCAGCCACCCCCCCACCCCCCCCCACCCCCGCTTTCAACGCCCACCAAGACAATAAGCGGCCTTGAAGGTGCTCTTCGGCCTCTTCGCAACCTCGGGCACGACGGCCGGGGTCCAGCGTGCTGTTCAGGATTTCCGTCTTGTCGAACCAAAAGGTTGAAGCAAGGGTTTTCAGATGTAAAGACTCGGGCTTCAGGGTTTTGGGAGTTGGCGTGGTGCTTACAAGCTCAACATGAAGAATGTCTGCCTTGTATTGGCGGGTTGGGCTGAGGGTTCGAGTTTCCACGATCCTAGGTCAGGCGGTGGAGATTAGTTCTCGGCTCGCTTTGCCTGTGAGTCTCCACGCAGCGAAAACGTGTCTGTCTCTTGTCATACTGAGCTCGGAACGATTCCGAGACTTGACTCGGACACTCCCTGGATGTACGAGCCTTCGTGGTATATTGAGGCTTGATCAACTGCCATCATGCCTCTCGAGCATTGGTGCCATCATCCGGTTGAGACCATACGGGGCCTCCATGTGCAGACTCGCAGCGGGCAATCTCGAGCTGCCCCACTGCGAAACCTTACACACCATGTAGATTTTCAGGTGGCTCTTCAACAGCTGCGCCGTCGATATTTCCAGCTGCGTGAGCCGCTGAGCCACCAATGCAGATGTGCCCTCCGTGTCTTAAAGAGCCCAACAGCATGAGTCGAAGCAACCGAGAGCATCATTCCATCCTCCGTTGCCCCAACCTGCACCCTAAACCGCCACCCCGCAGCCTGCCAAACAGCTCAACCTAGACAGTCGTTTCCCAGGATGAGCCTGGAGCCTCTGGGGCCGTGCCTGTCCTCGCCACTGGACCTGCAAGATACCTCACAAGCGCCAAGCTCCTGACCAAGCTTTAGGAAGCCTGTCAAAGTCTACCAGCCCTGGGCACCCCGCTTCAATTCTTGGGCTTTGTGGCTGTGTGGTTGGAACATGGAGATGTTGAGGTTAAACGCCGGTAGCACGCCAGCCTTTGACAACTTGCGGGATGCACCGGGGGATGCTTTTGCCATGTACGCGTATGTTCTTGAGAAGCTGCTCGGGTTTCACGGGAATCAACTATGGCATCAACCTCCACAGCCAGGGATCAGATGGCGTCGTCAAACTTCCTTGCCAAACGACATCGAAAGGGTGTCACAGGGAGATATTCAGCCGAGGACTCCATGGGTCTACAGTCGTAGGATGTTGAGGGTTCGTTTGAGGGGTTAACGGTGGTGAAAGCTGAGAGCATCTCCGCAAAAGCAACAAAAGTGCTTGCTGTCCGCCTGGGGGCAGAGAGACGCATCAAGGCACAAGGTGATCTGCGCTTCCGGCTTCCTTCGGAGCCTGGCCGATGTCTGCCAGCCTTGGGCCGCCACCTGGGCCACAAGAAGAAGGGTTTAGTGCAGGGCTGTAAGAGAAGGCTACAAATTCGCAAGAAAATGTGTAGCAAGAAGATCCTACAGTACTCGTAACATACATAAACAAACCTTCATGAAAGTAGCTGCGATGGTTTATTGAGTTTTGTTCTGGTATGATCGCATTCTCTGCTATTATCTTTATCGGGTCTGTTGGGGTGGAGGATGCAGATGCAGATTCGTGGGAAGCTTTTGCAAAAAAGCGTTGACAAGACCATCAGTTCCTCCAGGCACAGAAATCAAGTTCGCGGGTACTGGTGGGTGGGCATGCGGGAACATCTGACGGTCAAACTGGCGTCGGAAAGCAGGGTCCGTTTAAACATTTGCCGCGAACCAGGATGACTTCCTTGACCCCTCAGCCTGCGTAAGTCATTGAATTTTATGCTCTCCGTCTCTCTTCCAGCCGCCAAGGTGGAGGGTCCCTGGACATCTGGTCAAGTCTGCTTCCTGCGTTTCGAGACAGAGGTGCGCACACGAAAGCCCCAAAGCCTGATTTTGGCGAAGGGGGAGGGGGGTGGGATGTGTGCCAACAGGACTAGGAGAACAAGGTCACAGGTACCTTCTTGAATGGATTTGGATTCCTTGCACGGGTCATCGTAACGACTTGAAGCCTGTGCTGAGATAAACTTGCTGGAAGTCCGCATGACCCAGCCCTTTCGGCTCTCCGTGGGGCTGACTGTGTTTACTGATCAAAGCCTCACTGCAACAACTTACCATCATGTCATACTTGTTGATGAACTCGATTGCCCGGTGCTTGCGACCTGCAGGTCCTCTACAAGCTGGGAAACCAACTGCGCGATGTCTTGGCTAGAGACACTTTGCTTACAATGTGCGACATTTGAGCAATGCTATCTTCTCCGATAGCCTCGACATGCCAATACTCAAAGGGCTTCTACCCCGGTGCAGCAACTGTCCATGGTCAACTCCACAGCTTCGCAGCCCTGATGATTAACGAGTCAACCTTATCCGCATGCATTTGAGAGTGTGTGTGTGTGTGTGTGTGTTGCTATTCTGTGGGGCCAGGGAGAAATTTGCACGAAAGCCTTCTGAGGATCTGAAGCGCACGGAGTATGTCGCCACCTTCCTGATGTCAATGTCGAGTCTTGCTTGCAGCGGTGCTCTCTGGAAGTTGGCAGCTCTTACCGGTGTAGCACGAGTAGCGCGGGTAGCGCGTTGCTCAGTCTGTGTCAAGCTAAGTATGGTCTGACAGTTGTGCACACACGCGTAGTCGACACAGGGTACCCAAGACTGTCACGAAAGCTAGCTCTGTGGAGCTGGCGGGAGTTGTCGTTTACCCATGCACTGGTATTCACCTTGTTAAGAAGCTTCCAGGGAAAAAAAGGGTTCCACACCTTAACAGGTCCGAAACCCAAGACTTAAGGTGGGGGTTGGGGGGGGGGGCCCCCCCCCCCCCCCTCACCTCACCATGAAGCATTTTCGAAGGATAAGGTGCCGGCCGCCCCCCCCCCCCCCCCCTCCTTTAAGGTGGTTGCGTGTGGGATAAGGTAGGGGGGGGGGCCCCCCCCCTACCACCTTCAGGTCCCCCCCCCCCACAAGGTCCCCCCCCACCCCCCCCAAGGTCCTCCCCCGCCCCCCACAGTCACCATGCTCTGAAGGTCTGTGGTACTTTGCAGAGGTCGTACTGAACAGAGCGTCCCTGTACCTAAACTTCGTTTGCGACACGGGGTTCCAGCGGGGGAAGCAAGGGGGCTGAAGGAGTTTAGGGCTTCAGATTTCGAGTTTAGGGGTCTTCGATCTTACCTGACTAACCGGTTGAGGCATGTGCCTGAAATACGGAAAAAGCTGCGCCGGCGGCTCCAAGTCCTGCCGACTCGCTGCATGCCACCCCCCTGTGGTGACTAGCTTTCGTAGCCCCTTCTCAAGTTGGATCTTTTGTCCAGGAACCCAATTTCTTTCCAGCAGCGAGTGATCAAGACCCTTCTGGACACTTGGCGTAGCGTTCAGAGCAATCCGATCGTAGTGATTCGCCGGGTTCGGACGTTTTGTCCAGAAATCGCTGGAAGTCGGTGGACAGGGCAGGTTTTGAGTACATGAGCTCGGTGATGTCAGACCATTCACATTGCACAAGGCTTCCGGCTTATCGCAATGCGTACTACACACACGACTCTCAAACTTTTTGATCACACCAAATCCGCATCTGAGTCCTACCTCTGCAACGAACATCGAAGAGCCCCCTTTCTCTCCAGGAAGAGCTTGGTGATCTCCTGGACCAGGCATGCGAGCGGGCGCGGCAGGCTTCGGACACTGGGCCTGGGAAGGTTGGAAGGTTGGAAGGGAGAAGGCTTCCAGCTCGTGTCTACCGCAATTCCAAACCTTCAAGTTCCGTGTCCAGCTCCTGGACTGATGCTGAAGTACAGACATGCAGACGCTCTCAAGAGGTTGGCCGGCTGCTCGCAAAGCAGCTTGTGGCAGCGGCGGAGGCCACGCGGGGCCGGCGGCTGGCCAGAAGTCAAAGCCGAAGGGTCCACTCTTGGGTACCTGATGGGGTTTATGATGTGTGGCTCAGCTCAGCTTGCGGGTTGCAGGGTTTTGAGCTCTGAAGCTCCAGCCCAGGCTGACGGTGAGTCTGTGACTTGATTGCAGCGAGGGAGCCATGTGCCGGACTGCTATTAAAGGACCTATTTGACTTGTTCTATGCACGAGTACAGGGGCATGCTAGTATTGCATTTATCCTTGACTGTGATGCTGAGCTTATGTTTGCGTAGAGCAGCTCGTGGCATTTCGGCAAAGCTGCCCTGCCCTACCTCTTAGCATTGAATTTGTGGACCCCAATCTACAACCGACACCTCAAGTGCAAGTGTAAGCAGTATAAGAGGTTGGGCTGAAGCTCCATATGCTCCACGGGTTTAGGAACTTTAGGGAGATCACCAGTGCATGTCGCTCTGGAGCCCTCTCGCAACATCTGCTGCAAAACCGAGTAATGTGTCGAGGCTTGGTTACTCTGCTGGCGGCGTGGTTGTGCAAAGTTGCCTTCAGGGCCTGCAAGAGCTGTGCAAGGACGGACAGAGTAATTCCCGAACAGACCTAACATGCTAGGGCCGCTAGGATTTGTGCGCAGTCTGAACGGTTGAATGTTGATGTAGTTGTATACTGCCTGTTGTCGCAGTTAATGTTGTTACTGTTGATGTTGACATGTCACCGCTGTTGACGACAACGATGGTGATTCGGCGCTGTTGAGACGACGACGATGGTGATGACGATGACGACCGTGACTGTGCACTGTCTCTGTGTCTGTCTCTGTCTCTGTTTGTGTCCTCTCTCTCTCTCTCTTCTGTGCTTCTTTGCGTTTTCTCTGTTCTCTGTGGCTTCTCTGTGTCTTGCTTCTCTGTGTCTTCTCTGTGTCTCTAAGACAGGTTGCAGTGTGAGGATGTCGTCGGTCGTCGTTGGTTGTGGTAATGGTCAAGTATTCTAGTTTAGCTAAATCCAAAGCACCTAATTACGGGGTGTCACTGAAAGATGGCGTGAGCGCGCGGTGTGCGACGTTCGCACTCGAGGTGCGTGAGGTGCACGCGCGTCGCACGAGGCTCACCCTGCTCAGCTCGATCGCTCGTGCCCCGGTTCGCCCCGCTTTCGCTGCGGAGTGCCGCAGAAGGCAGGTAGTGGTCGTGAACCGGGCTTGAGGCTCAACAGCTAGAGCTCTGCAACTACCCCTCTTTCGCTAAGCCTAAGGGTCGCAGCCAGCTGCACTGAGCCATCGTAGAGCCTCTCTGCTAACTGCCAGATCCCAATTCCCGGGCAAGCAGTTTTCACAGCCACAGCGAGGGCGGTAGAGTTTTATACCTGTTCGCGTGCCATAAGACAGCTTCTCGGAGAGCATGCAACGCAACGAGTATGCTGGAGTGCCGACCTCCAAATGCTTCTGCCGAGAGTCCCGCGACAGAAGCCTGCAGCGAAGTATCCGCAACTACCTGTGTGAGAACGGCAGGATGGCTCCCACACTGTACTGTATAGGGTGGGGCATGATCGGAGTAAATCATTAGTTTGGTTTTGTTTGGTTTGTTTCCTTGCCTCTGTGTGTGTGTTTTGGTTGTTTTGTTGTCTTGTGTTGTTTTGCTTCGTTTTGATTTGCTTTGTTGTGTTTTGTTTTGTCTTGTTTCCTTCATATGTCTTGTTTCTGTTTTGTTTTTGTTTTTGTTTTCTGTATCGTTTTGTTGTGGGTGGTTGCGTTTGCATACGGAGTCTTCTTGTCTGTCGCTTGTTTTCACGTGGTCATTCCCCATGCCGTTCGCTGCGAGCTTTCGACAGCGCTTGGGGATAGACTCCCACTGCTCCTCGTCCCGGCCACAGCACTTTTCACCTGCATCGCCCCAGCTGCAAGTCATTTTCCCAATCTTTCCATCCCATGGCAGTCCTGCACGGAACCCGTAGTGTGCTGAGCTGTGATCCAAAGTTGAACGTGGTTCCCGTATGCCGCCCATCGGTCTGCAATTTTCGGGTGGGTTTGTATAGGCTCTTGTAGTCGTGTAAAAGTGCAATCCAGCAGCCAGTGAGGTTGTTTCTTGTTGAGGATGGCCGCAGCGAGGCGGCCGATGTGGTTTGCGACGTCGTTCTGCTGGGGACCCCTGCGGCCGCCCTGGATGATGCGCCATGGACCTTGCTAGAAAAAGCTGAGATCATTGATACTCGTATCATTGTGGGGTCATCAACCTTTGACTCTCTAGGAAATCGGTCAGGAACTTGCCTCCCGAACCACCTAAGCCTAAGACTAAAACACAACTCAGCCCAAAACTGCAAGCCCTACCTCAGGGGTGGTCCCGACTGCGGGAGCTGGCCATGGGGCGTTTTGTGAACGGCCCCTCTGTCAAAAGAAGACTGAGTCGCTTTTGGGGAGTGGGCAAAGACTTGGGGTGTTTCAGGTCTCCACACCATGGACTCAGAAGCTGGATCCCGCTGTTTGCAAAGCAGCCAAAGCAGTTAAACCTGCCCGCCACGGTGCACAACGCACTCCCAAAGCGTCGATGAATAGGTTCATGAACGACTGAGGAAACGAACGACAATATGAATGGATGGAAGAAGAATGAATGAAATATTTGTCGCTGTCGTCACAAGCCGCTGTGCGCGCGCCCTGGAGCCCCGTGCCCAAACCAGCTTGCGAACTCTTCCGACTGCGGAAACGTTTGTGGTCGACAAGGCAAATCGGGACGCCTGCTCGAGAAAAGGGAACTTATGAACTGAGTTGGGGTAGTCTAGTTGAATCTAGTTGGCTTAGGGACTTTTTCGTTCAAGGTTAAGGTACTGCTTTCGAGGCCCTTCCCAGCCTGCACGGCCCACTCATCCCGCTCCAAGCTGAAGGTTGAGGGTTGTGAGGGCATTTTCATTATTTTGTTACTTGTGGGGTTCTTGCAACAAAGTTTCCAGTACCGCAGTCCCTCTGTTGTGGCAGTTTCGCCCGGAAGGCAAGAAGGACCCTGGGAGTTTGATGCTTAGTAGGTTTAGACCCCAACGGCCTAGGTCCTTGGGCATTTAAATGCGGAACTCCCTAAGCCCCCTGAGCTTCTCATCCCAGGCTTCTTCGCGCAAGACAGCTTTCTGCTGTCGCACCAGTTTCGCAGGGGAGGTGCCCGGGTTGGTGTGGCTGTTATGTTGCTTCATTCCAGTTTGAGCCTGGTCCGATCCGATGCAGGCAGCAAGCTGGCAGGCTGCAGCCCGCTACACGCACCAGACGTGGAGAACATCCCCATGGACCCCGCTTCTGTAAGGGTTTGGGGTTTGGGGTTCAGGGTTCGGGCATGCTGATGTGTATGTGCAGTGCGAAATTCAGAAAGTGCCCCAGGCCTGATCAGATCAGGTGCTGAGAGTTATAGCTTCCCATTATAATCACTGTGCTAGTGTGAGTGTGAGTCTTAGTCTTACTTCGGTGAACAAATCACAGACAATCGTTTGGCATAGCAATGGCTGTGTCCCAACACAAGTGGCGCATCGCTGAGTGGAATGGCAAAAAGCATGGATGCATGGAAGCTACACTGACTTCCTGATTAAGGTAACATCGTTGAAGCTCCTTAAGAAAACGCCAAAACTTCACAGTCACAGATCATGAGCCCGGGCAAGTAGTTGCCGGAGACTTTGGCCTAAAGCGTTCGTCTATCCACAGTTTGGGGGACGGCTTGACATGGCAAGTGCCACCTTTGCGAACAGAAGAGACGGCTTCACATTCTGACCTCCTCGCTGGTACGAGGATCCTTACATCACAACCCACAACGAGTACCCGGAGCAGATGTCTCTGATCCTTCATCGCATTTTCCACGGCGGGCTTTGACACCTCAAGCAACGCCGAATCCCTAAGCCTGAAGACCCGAAATCCAAAACCTAAACCCAGCACCCGGCCCATCAGTTGTCCATGACCTGAAGGACGGTTAAGTTAGAAACCTTAGCATGACCCATCTATATGCACGGCATGGGAGTACATAACAAGCATAGACGAGGCAGCCGCTAGCTAATGCATGTGGGGGAAGAGCTTGGGGAGGCTTAGGGCTATGTGGCCCTATGTGGCTTGACTCTGAAGTTCGTCAGCCCCCCGAGGGTTGCCAAAGTGCTCCCTTACGTCCGTGGCGACCGGGAAGAGGTCAATCTGAACTCCGGGGCCGACGATGTGAATGTAAAGGAAAAGGCGGGCAAACTAACACGTAGCCCTAGCATCGCAGAGATGTAGGTTTTTGCATGTTGCATAGAGGCATAGAGGTTTATGTCTATGCTGTACAACCGGTAGGGGAGAGAACGAGAGGGAGAGAACAGAGAGAGCGAGAGAAGCCAAGAGCACGCCGCGGGGGCTTCGCCCCAAGCCCCCAAGAGGAGAGAGAGAGAGAGAGTGGGGCGACCCCTCTTGAGAGGTTAAGCGCGCTGCAAGCAAGCAAGCAAGAGAGAGAGAGAGAGAGAGAGAGAGAAGATGATGTACTGCATCACACCCAGCTTTCCAGCCGCAACGTAGTGAAGCGTAGCCACGCCTGTCATTCATGCTGACTGCTCGCTAACAAAAACTGTTTAGATGTTCACAGGGATGGCCCCTGAGATTTCATTTTGGCCCACCGGCAAAGACCATCGCCTGCCTGTGAACGGACAACTCATCGATTTCCTCTGCGGCGCTGCGGAGTAAAGCTGTCTTCAGGGGTGTAAAGGCAGCTTTTGCCCGATCGTTAATTGGGTAGCTGTGTAGCCTGATCCTGGCCGATGCTCACCCGATTCCAGAAGAGGTACTGCGATGTGGGGACCTTGCAGACTCTGGAGAGACTAGCTTCAGCCGAACCCCGAAGCCTTGAAGCGTGGTCCAAGGTTTTTTCAACCTGAGTTTGCGCTAGAGCCGTCTTTTCGGACCTTACGATTCCAGCTGGTTCCTTCTCAGCCTTTGAACTCACAAAGTTCTTTGGCCCCGGCACCGCTGTTGAGCTCGGCTGATGAACATGGTAAATGCAAGAACGCCCAAACTTCACCCGCAACTTCGCTCTGCGTTGAACCCTGAAGCAGGCCCACAAACGAAGAGCAGGTCAAATCTGGCGGCCAAAGTGGTCAGTTCCGCGCCAACAGCGACCAGATCGGCTGGCGGGGTGAGTCGGGTGCGAGCCTTGGGATGGTCTGTGGTCTTGGGTCGGGGTTGAAAATCAAGTCCATTGACCCAAGCTGGGCCTCATGTGTATTCTGACAGTTTTGAACTTTATTCTCTCCATGTGTGCGTGTCCACCCGTCCGCCCTCCCACCCTCCCCTGCCCTCCCCTGCCCTCCCCTGCCCCCTCCCTGCCCTCCCCTGCCCTCCCCTGCCCTCCCCTGCCCTCCCCGCCCCCTCCTGGCCCCCTCTCCCTGCCCCCACTGTGCATGCCTTGTTTAACCATTAGTCCAGCGCCTGGAACAATCGACAAACTTGGGGGGAAGAATCGCAAATCGTGTTGCGGCGGGTCTGGACCCCCCAGAGTCGCTCAAGAGATCTCAAGAGGCTCCAGCTTATTCCGGTGCGACTTTGGTGGCTGAATTGGGAAGGGGCACTCCCATGAACAATTTCTGAACAATGTGGAAGTACGTGATCGGCTGAGCTCTGTTGTTTGAATTAAGGGTACGGGATGGATGGTGGGAATGGTTGTCGGTCAAGGCTTGAGTTTTTTGGTGCAGGCCTTCTTGTTCATATTTCTCCTCCTCCCGTCAAGTGCCACCCCCCCCCCCCCCCCCGGAGGCAGTCCGGCACCCCTAAACCCGAAAGCCCGCACCGCACGAGACAGGGTGATGGTTTCTTTGGGAGTTTCATGGTATTGATGTTCGGGTTTCCCACCGTTGACTGCCATCTCCGCGAAGGTTTGCAACAACTCAGGCGCTGACATGCGCACGTACTGCCAGTGCCACTCAAAACGGGGTGGTCCTTGTGACCAACAGCAGCCGACAGCAACACACAACACTTACATCTGGAAGCCCTCTGCCGGCTACGGAGAACGCCTGAAAACGCTGTTTCGCAGCAGTGGCGGCATGAGAGTAAGCCAACGAGAGAGCAAGGATTGATAGCTGTTCAGGTTCAGGCTCGCGTAAACTCTGCCTTGGGCTCAGGCGCCACGAAGGTGCACGCCACCACTTCCATTCGCAGGCGCCTGCAGGGTTTCGAGTTTACGGCTCGGAGTTTCGGGCTTTGGGCTTGGCTTAGAATCTCAGACTACGGGTTTACGGAATAATATTTGCAATTGAGACGGGCGGAAACCGCCTCGGATGACGCTTGTAGCCTCTGGAAGCTCAGTCCGAATATCTGGTGACACTCCAAGCATGCCTCCAGGGCGGAGTGGTTCGAGGGCAGCCTGCGCCTTCTTTGTGAGCGGGAGGACGGCACTTCCGAGGTTGGGCCTTGCGAAACATACAGCAGTTGAAATCTTGTGGTGGAGCGCGCGGCTTTGTGTGCTGGGTTTGTGGCAATTCTGTCCATGAGTTCACGTGCCGTCGCACGTTGCTGCCGATTTTTGTTCCTCCAGAGTCACGATTTGCGTAGTGGATTTTCGTGGTTCAAGCCACAAAAGAGCCTTCTACATGTAGGATTAGTCGCCTTGGGGTTTCAGGGTTGAAATTCACGAGTATTGCATGCATGATCATCCTTTCCATTTGCGAGCAGGTAGTGGCCTTGGATGGCTTCAGCGACACGGACTTTGATGCCCTTTGGCGGTACTTTGAGCAGACTTGCGGAGTGTGCCCTGCCCCGCCGTTGGTTGTGTTTTCGAGTTTTTGCATCTTCAAATTGGACTTTCAATCTGTTATAGCTTCAAGGTTTGGATGCGGTGCTTCTGGGTGTGGTTCGGTGGTTTGGGTTCGTGGTCCAGACGGAGGAGGGTTGAAGGGGCCACGACCGCCGATGTGACTTGGGCTTGAAGTTCAAGGAGGGGATAGTCATCGCATAGTCGGATAGCATTGTGGACATCCGATCTGTCATGTGCTGGGCTGCCACACAAGGTTTGCAGACATGGTCTAACCCACGGGCGCTGCTTCCACAATGCTTTGGTATCAGGGCTCTGACACTGACACGGGCACGAAGAGACGGGTAGTAGTACTTAGTAGTACTTGGCTTTTGCGAATGGTCGCGTGCTGAGCAGTGAAGTGATCCGGACGGCATTGTGGAATTCACCTCTAACCTAGGCTGTTCACCCGGTATGCAGAGGGTGTAGCAAGCCGGGGCGCGTTGGTACTCAAGCATCTTGTAGTGCTCTGTAGAACTGCAAGAGACCGGAGGTACCTGAAGAAGCACCGCCCTGTGGCCGCCCTTTCCGAGGCTCCTTTTACGAGTCGAAGTCTAAGGGCTTAGGTTTTGACATCCAATGCAGCATAGGCCTGCTGACCTCTTGACTTCCGGCAACAAAGGGTTGTAGGACTTGAGGAGCTAAAGTCATGATTTCCCAAATCTAAGGTGTTGGTTTTGGTGGTCTTCGGGTGGAGCGGTCCTAAGTCAAAGAGCTCAGCTCGCAAGAATGGAGGGAGGCTGTCTTCGGGCAGGAGTTTGGGGCTTACGTCTCGCCAGGTCGACTTTGACACAGCCATGCGGAGCATCGAGGACGCAGCCGATAGAGAGCGCACCTTAGAGGGGCGGACCCCGGACCCTGTCTTTCCATTTTTTATGCGATTAAGAGGGGAAGTCCGACGCAAGGGTGCCCTGCCAAGCAGACCCGAAAATCCCATCGTTTAGTACTCTATAGACTCGATAGCCGAGGTGGATGAAGCAGCCGCAGGCTCCGTGCAAAAGAAAGCCAAGGAGGCCGACCTCATGAAAAAGGCGAGGCGTTCATGGTTTCATGTGTCCAAGTCCAGCATTTGTCCATGCTTTCCTGCAAGAAATACCGGTTGGGGTAGGGCAGTTGCGATCATGTAGGATTTCAGGGAGGCATCGGTAGATTCGGGGTGTGGACTTGGAGTTTTGAAGGTTGAAATTCTAGAGCCCCTGTGGTTCTTTGCAGTTCGTGTTTAGTTTCGATCGGAAAGGCCAGTTGTTTTATAGACGTTGCGCGGTGCTACGCTAGTCTTCGTTATTTAAAGCGCCTTCGGGCTGAGAAGGGTTGTACTGATACAAGTGGGTTTCAAGGTTCTTTTGAGTTGGCGCTCTGCGGTTCTTGCAGGTCTTGGCCCTCTTACTAGTAGAATTCGTAGGAAGCTTTGCTAAACTCTTGCAGACTCCACTGAGTCCGCCGCAGGTTGAGAGCGTCCGGGATGGCCTTGACCAAGCCGTCAGCGGAGACAAGCAGGCAAGAGCACACTTTGACCGCGATGTGATGCCGGCCCTATCCGGCCCTCGCATTTTTAGGGGGTGGACAAGCTGGTTGTTTGGGAGCGAGATAAAGTATATGCCCTAGAACTCAGCCCACGAGTGACTGGCTGCAGATTGACATGCTGTCCATTAGCCTGTATACCAAATCCGCCGCTCACAGGGAATCATTGCAAAAAATCTCAACATTGGGTCGAGGCGAGATGGAAGGTCACCTGTATGATCACAAAACCCGTGGGCCGCAAGTTATATACTCATTCCCCGTGCACACACACACACACACACCCAGTGTACGGAACAACAACTTCAAGGAACCAGTTCCTACACGGAGTCCGCGTTTTGCAATGCCCGTCTCAACATCCCCTAACCAGGCAAAACTTGTCAATGATCCCACGTCCAAGCGGAAGCCTTCTGCAGAGCCCTCCAATATCTCCAATAGCCCCAATTATCCCTCCATTTTCTCGGGCTTCAATCCCTCCTGTTCCGCATGTTCAAAGGCCCTCAGCCGGGTCTTCGCCGACCGCGGCTGCGAGCGGATCGGCCGGCTGCGGCTGGTCGTGGATACGGTGCAGCTAGAGGCCCACAAAAGTCACAAAAGGGGAAAACAACCAGGAGAAAAAAACAAGAATCAAAGAGAGAGTATGTCAGTCTGCGAGCACCCAATCAAACATGCCACCGCAAGCCCTCAACCCTTATCTGAAAACACTTGTGACCCAAGCTCTCCTGCAGGTCTATCATACCGATCCCCGATGGAAGCACTTGCTGAGCAAGTGCGCCACGATTGAGGCGGGGTCCCATGCTAGGGCGTTATGGGGAAGGACTGGGTCTGAAGGAATCATGGCCCAGAGCTCAAACCAAGCACTTGCAGGCTTAGGGTTGCAGTGCTCATCATTGCAAGAAGAACCGGGGAACCATGCCGAGAATAGTTGTGGTGGCAGTTCCTGGTACCAGAAGTACATGTAGCATGGTGCCAAACTGGATGGGCACGAGCACCATGCACAGGCGGTTCTGAAGGAGCTTGGAGCCTTCCGTCTGCGGCCTCTGACAGAGAAGGAGAAACTCATCAAGTAGAATTACAGCACTGACAAGCTCCCTAACCTCAAAGTCTGGATATTTTGATTCTCTGAAGCCCCTGAAGCACAGGCTTAGGGGTTTCGCTGATGGGGTTCTCGGATCTGGTGGAAACCGAGGGGCGAGGCTAAAGCCTGACCCACAACACCCGCTTCTGGAAGACGATGCGTCCCATCTGAGCTTGTTCCGCTTTTGCTCGTACGAAGATGGGCTCCAAACGGTAGGCCCGGCCGGTCTTAGTCATCTCACGTGGGGTACGCCATGTCTTTCAAATGTCCGAATCTGTCCTCATTTTGCCATTTTAGGTATTCTGGCTTGTGCGTTAAACGGTCCTTCAGCTAGAGTGTGGAAGAGGGAGGTAACATGATTGTGCAATCCAAGTATCGGCGATGGCGTCAAGAAAAAGGGCTTCGTAGCTTTGGAGCCTTATTATTCTTATATTCTTATATTCTTATCTTCTTATCTTCTTATATTCTTATATTCTTATATTCTTATTATTACTTTGGGGGGCCAAGGCCACTGGAAGCCTTCGCAGGGCAGCGGCCACTCCGAAAGTCTGCTGAGGCCTCTGAGAAGGGCAGTGTTGTAAGGTAAACCCGAATGGGTTTAGGGTTTAGGGTTTAGGGGTTGTTGAAGAGTTTCAAAGGAATCAGAGACCCTTCCAAGCCTTGAAGCTGCATGGACGGTCCAGTGTGCCTTCTTCGGGCCTCTTTTGAGCCATGATTGAATCCCTCGTTGCACCAGAAAGATGGCATTTTCAACTGATGCGCCGTGTGAAGCGCGAGAAATTCCCCGACAGCCCCGAGGAGGAAGGGATTGTGATCATTATGGAGTGCAGGCAGTGCGTTCGCGAGCTGCGGTCGAGATTCCGGTGAATACCCGCATGCTGCATCATTCCGGAGAACTTCCTAGTTAGTTGAGGCGGTGGCCCCCAGTGTCAACACGACAAGCCACCCGAAGGCGGGCCATGGTCAAAGAGCTACGCCACCGCCACGGCGAGGCCGACGATCTTCCTGAGGAGCTCGGGCGCAGGGGCCTGGAATTTATAGGACGAGTTTTCATTTAATATCGGCGGGGTTGGGATGCATGTGGACGGGTTTCTTAGGGCGTTTGCTGGCAGCCCGCAAATTATTTTGCAAACCCAAAGCTTGATGCCTTCAGCCTTGCATGTGGCATTCTCATGAGGTTACTGAGTCCGACAGCCTCAGACACTTACCCGAATCAACAGGAGGAGCCCATAGCCCACGGAGGCTACACTGCGGCAAAGCAGGTTGAGGCGCGCGTCCTCGTGTGACCATGCCTTCTGTTAACCATATCTGAAAGTTCAGAAGCCGAAACACAGCAAAAAGCTCGACTTGTTGGCATTCTAGCCTCTGCTCTTTCCAAGGCTGCATGCCCTGTCGGCAAGATCATCTGTAAGTGGCAGGGCTTCCAGGAACTTCCGGGACCTGTAGCCCCAATGACCTGAAGCTTAACGTCGAGCACCAAGTACAGCACAATCTTGAAGCTGGCCCCTTAGAGCGCATCCAACTTGCGTTCAGCCCATCTTTGGGCAGCTTTAGACTCTCATGCCATCTCAAGATTGAAGCCTAGCTGACCTGAATCTGAAGAGTCTACCCTCGAGGTTACAGTCCATAGCAAAGCCTATATATCATAACGAAGAGCGAGGGATACCTTGAGAGATTCCGAGCTGCTGGAGGAACCTCCGGCGCCCTACGCCACCCAGCCGCTGCCAGAGCCAGAGCCGGCCAGCGCAGGAGAGCTGCTCAATTGGCCCCTAAATGCCCATTAAATGACCTGTTGAGACTGGTGTTTCAGGCTGTTTCAGATGTGTTTCGGGTTTCAGGTACATGGAGTTAGCATTGGACCTGATATGAATCTGAAGTTTCCAGCAGGGCGTGCGTTCTAGGCGAAGACGTTCGAGCAGGACCTTCACGATTCGTTTACATAGCAACAATGCCACATATGCCAGTAAAGTCGGGTTGTGGTCTTAGTTTTACGTGAGGGTGCATCCGTGACATCTGCAGAATCAGATGCCAGAAGTGTTGTTCCCGGAAGCCTCGAAGCCAAGAGGGCTGGTTAACCTGTGCTTGGCGAGTGTATGTAGGGTTTGGGAGGGGGTTGAAGCCCGTGGGGGTTTTGGGTTTTGGGGTGCGGCCCACTCCTAATCCTAGCCTTCAGCAGCTTTCGGCCGAGGGGCTGATCGGGCCTCGCAAGAGATGTCTCGAGCGTGGCTATGGTTCAAGCCATCAAGCCGCATGTGAACCAAAAGCCCCAAACCTAGAAATCCAATCTTCCGGACCCGACACACGTTCATGTTGACGACAGGCCTTCAGCACGCTCCACTCATCCGCCAAGAGAGAGATTCCGAAGAGGACCGGCCAGCTCACCCCTACGCCACCAAGCCTCCCAGACCTTCTAAATCACGAGGATCAGACAAGGATGGCTTCAGGACATCTTTGATTGGACTAAGGTGTAGGTTTCGGGAGTCTGGACATGGCTTGGGCGTTGTCAAGTTGCAAAACATGTGACTTCTTTTCATCGTTTTTGGACACTGCTCGGGCATGATCTTGCGAGACTTGCGAACTGAGCCATTCTAATTCTTCACCTGCCGGAGATCTAAGGGAACTCCTGTAGGTCCACCGCAACGTCAAATTGGTTTTGTGTTTCTTGCCTCCAGTAGAGTCTTCAAGCTGCGGCCGGTACCAGCTACCGATACGATATTGCATGTTATTACCTCCTGGAACATAGTAATTGCTGTACTATACCTGTCTTTATCGTATTGTATTGGACTGTGTTGTGCTGAGGAGGATGAGGAGCCTCTGTACGAAGAGGTGGCAGCAAGTGCCCCGAGCCGCGGGCTTTCCCAGGGGTCACCTTCAGAAACTGATTCATTTTTCAGTTGAGTCAGGCGTACAGCCCAAATCCGTAAACAAGTAAATCAACACACATCCGTAACCTAAACCCTGAAGACTTGAGAAGCCTGAACCGCCTGAACCTGTTTGTGAGACCTTCAATTCAAGTCCTGCAAAGTTGTTGAAGGTAGTGTAGTCGGTTGTCAAACTCATGGTCGAGAGCTTTGAGCTTAGCTTGCTCGCATCAGGAGGGCATAAGGAGGGTCATAGGATCCTGCAGGGATTTGCAGGGAGTTGACAGCAGGTTTGAGGATGCATGGAGCAAACACAGCAACCCCCACCCCCCAAAGCCCGAAACTTTCTACCTGAGGCAAGGTGCAAGCCAAGAAGTTCGAAGATGAAGAGGCGCCACGGCCAGGGTGTGGCAGGGGATGGGTCGGTGGAGCTTACGGATTGGGTATTGTGTCTTGGGGCAGTTGCATTGGGCCTGAACGCCTGGGGCAGTTTGTATAAAATGATCCCCAACAGCTACGCTGCCTTCACCACAGCAGCGGCCTTCTAAGCCTACGGGCAGGGCCTGCATGTCCGCCGGTAAACAGCCTACCCCCTTCACCTCGAAACGCTGTACGGACATGCAGAGACTCGAGTCCTGAAGCCCGCATCAAGATTCCGCTTTTGGCAGGTCGCGGATCCAAACAGCCAACGCCTCAGAAACCAAGTAGGTGTGGTGAGTGTATGGCGTAGAGCATCCACACCGTAACTGCATGCGTGCAAAGTATTCTGCCATGCGCGGTCGCTAGAACCTTATGCTGTACGGGGTGTACCAGCCACACAGACACACGCACTCCCTTTCGTCCGCTTTGGGCCTGGAGCCGTTTGCTTTGTCCATTTAAGACTTAGCAGGTAACAGGCTTCACGTGAAGCCTTACACCTCCAACCCTCGCACCTGGGGAAGCGGAGGCTCCGAGGCCTGCAAATCCCTTCCAAATTTCAGGCGCGTAGCGTCGATAAACGTCTTTTCCATAGTATGGAGGGTTCGGACACGCCCTGACTCCGAAGGATTTTGCGTGTCCACTGCCTCAACGCGTTGGTTCGGAAGGGGTTCCATCAAACCCCCAAAACTTGCACCGAGGCGTCCGGGCGGCCGCACCTGATGACTGCTGCGATGAAGAGACAGCCAGGAGACCAGGGGTTCACGCGATTTCGGGCCTTAGGGAGGCTTCTGTTTGCTTGGGGTCCTCTTGTGGCTTTGTTTTCTCAATGTTGTCCATGTTCAGTCCTGCGGTCTGCTTGAAGACAAAGTCAACAAACAACCCCGCGCCCAAGCCCGAAACAGCGCAAGGCGGCTGCGCTACACCCACCCGGACAGTGTTTTGGAGGGCTGGGCCAGGCTCTGAGTTTCCGTGGCTTCATGGGAGATTCAGAATTTCTTGTTTCAACATCGTTCAACAATTCTTGCATGTGGACTATTGCTTGGAATGGATCGTCGTCTGACTTCAAGAGCTTGCATGGCACAGGCAACCACGAAACGTTCCACAGCAATTCGTCTTCGCGCCTCCTTTGGACAACTCTTGAGGTGAATCGCAACTTGACACCCTGCAGAGTAGAGTGTGTCAGAGCAGTCGTTGCAGACAACGTGGAACACATCAAGCACTCTTCCTTGAACTTTCAGTGGACAGAACCCGTTGCGAACGATGTACATCAGCTCGCTGCGGGACTTCAATGCATCGTGCGCAGTCTTCATTCACAGTCCAGATGGACATGTCCACTGTTGCCCTGTCGGCTTGCCGTATACGACGATTGGATCATTGCCATCATGCTCGTGGTGCTACCCTCAACCTTGACAACAATCTGGCGTGAGCATTGGCATTGCACGATGTGGGCTGAGGCAGCTTGATGCCAATGCACGCACATGACATGTATCAGTGACGCCTTATGTTACTATTGTTTTTTGATAAAGGAACCCGTGTTCTTGCTGTGCAGTCGGCCACCGAAACTATGTGAACGTGTGGCAAACCCCCGTCCGCCCGTGTTGTTTGCTCTGCAGTTGGCCACCGTGAACATGTAGCCGAGAGGGCGGAAGCGAGTGAGTGAGTCCCGGGCCCGTGACAGCATAAACCGCGCCTTGTGTGGGGACCCCTTCTT